ATAGATGTAATTAGCCAAAAAAAAAACGAATTGCACGTGCAGCACACTTTTTCTTCTAATTAGCAAAAAAAAAATTTGCACGTGCAGCACGCTTTTTTGTCTTTCCCTTGTTGTTGTTTTGCACGACTACAACGCTGTTTTGTACGGCTAAAACGTCAAACTTCCCAGTTACACATTATTTTCATGGAGGAATTGTCGTATGTGCTTACCCAATATTTCGTCTCCTGTGTTCATGTTCGCTTTTGTTTTTCATTGCCGCTCATTTTCACCTTGCTGGTCGTTAGCATTTCTCATTTTCTCACCGCCACTTTGAATTTCCATGTTTTTCTTCCTAAGAAATTAGTCTCCTTTGTTTTCAATAACTCGCTCTAGCTCTTTCTCTGTTGTCCACGTTAATGTAAACATAAAAAATAACGCCGAAAAAGACACGACTATGTTGTTGTTTGTTCTTCTAAATAAAACCTTGAGTTGCATTTGGGTTGCCATACCTGTTGATTGAGTTATTTTACATTGGTATGCCTGTGATGCGGACGGACGGTCGCTCGCTCGCTCGGTGTACGGTCACGTGATTACCAAATTTTCTTGGATGGGTAGTTTACCACATTTTCTTACCCATGGTGCTCCGCTATTACTTACACCAGTTCGTGCCATTAACAAAACGATCGAAACGGGAGTAGTATGATCGCATAACCACAGTTTTTTTCTTCTGCAGGGGTTAAAAGGGACACTTTCAAGTAGTATAGGTAATAGCATGATTTGTAGTGATATTTGGCATAAATACCACGAGTGATATTTCAAAATTGTTGTACGTAATTTCACGAGCCGTTAGACGAGTGAAATTTGAGACAATTTTGAAATAACACGCGTGGAATCTATGCCAAATATCACTTACAAATCATGCTATTATTTGTTTATACTACTACCCACAAAGGTTTTGTAATTTTCACATGCAGGTATTTCAAATTTTAAAGCTGAAATACCACTGCTCTAAGCCAATCAAATTGCAGAAATTTCCCATGTAGTAGTATAAGGGATATAAAATAAGCGACTCACCTTGGTTTTTGCTCCCTTCGTGCAAAACGTATAAAGTAGTCCATCAGAGAGGTTTAGCATATTAGGCCACTCCATAGGTTTTTGACCAATCAGATCACGCGTACTATCAACGCGGGATGTTGGGAGAACACGAGAAAAGCTTGTAAATCACGAGCCGAAGGCGAGTGATTTACAAGCTTTTCGAGTGTTCTCCCAACATCCCAAGTGGGTTATCACGCCGGTATCAAGTCGGGATCAAGTCATGTCTTCTCTCTAAAGTCATCATAAGCCAATCATGACTCACGATTTACAGTCAAACCAGGTCAAGCGTTCCCGTCGCTAACCAACTAATGAATTCATTCACGGAAAAATGATTTCGTTTGTTGATTCAATAATCCATTCATAAAATGAACAATCCAATATTCATATTTAGCCTCGATTCCATAATCGAATGTTGATTCGATTACTGTTTTTTGAAAAACTACACTTTCCACAAGTTGACCTCAGAATTTTGTTTTTTCCTCTTTTTTTTCTGAGAGTCGAGTGCTGGCGAGTTCTGAAGTTCAAACCCAAACAAACTGTTACATGTACGCCAGTTTGCTGCCAGTAATCAGTGCAACAGACCTAGGCCTGACCTCTTAGAAAACACAACGGTCAAACTAAGGTCAGTGTATGTGCGGTGATTGGTGGATTTCGATCCTCGGCCTTTGTCAGTTTCTCATAGTTTCTTTGCGTTTGCGGTCTGTCTATTCTAGCTGTTATTTTGATTGAAGGCAATGAAAAACGCAATCGTAAACGGCAGGAAAAAGGAAGCAAATACGATTGAAAACAACAGACAAGAATAAAGAACAGGTAGATTTTGTTCATAAACCAAATCAACATTTGATTATTGAATCGAGGTCCAATTTGACTGTTGGATTATTCATTTTATGAATGGATTATTGAATCAACAAACGAAATCATTTTTCCATTAATGAATTCATTAGTTTGTTAGCGACGGGAACGCTTGACCTGGTTTGACTGTAATAGCGCTGAACTTTCTCCAAACTCAGTTCAATCAAACAACAAACAGTAGCACTTCAAAACACGAGTTTTTGCACTCATTACATGATAACTTATGAAAGCTGTTTTACAGGAAAAGTCAACATTTATTCAAGCGAACGTATAATGAAAAAATACGTTCATGGTTTGTTTACTACTGAAGTAGAAATTAATTGAACATCAGACTGTACGCCGCTGTATTTTGTTGAGTCGATCCGTAAGAATTTCGTGCTTACAGACCGAACTGGCAGCTATTGTAATGGAGGACTTCATTCACATAGTACAAGCCGCAGTGGTTTAAGATCTGTTTTCTGGACTTCATTATGATTAAGAAATGCTGCGGTAACGACGTGGCTGCATTTGCGAAGTTGTCGCATGTAACTTTTATATGCACGGACAGCGACCGATGGAAATATGTCACTGGTGGAGAAAGGTTTCTTTGCCGTAGCCACAAATTGTCGTTAATACTTGTCGATTTGTAAAGTCAGGTGGTTTGAGGTAGGTTATGGCATCGATATCACCGAATAATTTGTGCAAATGTTGGAAAAAACCAGCCCGAAACTCTGACATCTTTCATCATCGTTGGCAGCTTGTTTACAACCTACAGCGGCCGATTTTGTACCATACCTTGATCAGAGATCTCTTTTTGGAACAATTTCTTTCATTAAGGAATTTAATTTTGACATAAAATAAATCAAGAATGCTAAAACTACCCGTTTCGTTGCTGGTTAGCACATGGTCAAGTTTTCCTGGAGACTTTCTACACCAGAAATTCACACAGTTGTTGTCTTTCTCTGCGATTTGGCATCGTCGTGAAATGTAAACTGCTTTCCAGCTTTCTACTTTATTACTTCTAAAGCTATGGCAGAAATAAAATGTGGAAACCAACGCTTTTGATATTAAGAAGGGCTGGGTAAGTAACTTGTTCTTTTTTTTAGCCTTTCTAAAATCATTGTTTGCAGATCAATAGCCGGTTTTGTTTATGGCTCGTGGTCCGGATGCCTTTTTGTATGGGTTTACCGGTATAATAAACCATAGGTTTTTGACCAATCAGATCACGCGTACTATCTCAGTTATTTTATAAATGCTAATAATCTATTATTAGTGGAATTAGAAGGAATGGACCCAGTTGCTTTTCTTTGTTCAAAGGACGTGAACAAATCGTTGTTTTGTAGCCGAGAATGTTTAAAAGTTGTGCTTAACAAATACATCAAAGATGTTTCCCGCTATAAATGAGCAGTGAAGAAAGATAATTTAGTTGTCAAGCTTTCAAGGAGAAAGAATATCTTATTTGTTCAATGCTATAAACAACAAAAAATGACAAATTATCGATCCAAGAAACCATAGGCCTGTGATAATATGTCAAAGAATTCGGAAAAATGTTTTTTTTATTAGATAAAACCAAGAAAACATTCTCTTGATAAAACGAAAACGGCTTAAAACCAAATGAAACTGAAAGAAAGAATGATTAACGGACAACAGAGCAACAGGGTTCCGCTCCAAAACTCTATATCAACGTCCAAGAGTCACGGCGTAGCTGTTAGTTTTTTTTCTTTCTTTCTTTGGCCTGATTAATTGTCACATTTCAGCGCAAAATGGAATTTCAATCGACAGGAAAATTATCGTTCAAAACGGTCTCCTGGTGTCAATTTGATTTAATTTAATAGTTTTAAGAGTGTAGCCATTGTTTAAGAGTCTGAAAACAATAGCTACACTTGCAAATTACACTTGTTAAGTGTTAATAATTTGACCCCTGGTTGTGTCTACTAAGGGTTAACTTATTAGAGGCATACGTGTATAGCCGTAGGTTTTTTGTACAGTATGCTTTTATCCCCAGTGAAATGTTTCCCACTAAAATACTCGGATACTCGGTCTCACCCAAAAAAGTCACTAAAATGCTCGGATAATTCTCATCACGCACAGATTTTCATTTTATGTAATTATTTATTATTATTAATTACAAAGAGTAGGATGGGATGGGGGGTCCAAACCTCCTTCCTCCCGTATCGTAATCCATCCTAAATACACGAATAGTGTATTATTAGCATATGAAGGGCCCTTATGCTTGACTATAGTTAACAGAATGGAGTGGTCAGGAACCCCGTTGGACTTCTTTGTTATATTTGTTTTTGTGGACTTGACGGTGCACAACGTTCAATAGCATTCTTATAATTTTGACCTCACTGACCAATTAAAACGTCGCATTAATTTACTTCGTTACAATTTGTAAACAAAAAACAAAAGGAATACGCCAGTCAGGGAGCTCCGAACATTAACTGCAGCACTGTTGATTTTATCTTTGATGTTTTTCGCATAACCAACCTGCTCTACTATGACTAAACATCTCTAATATGACTCCTTCGTATTGATTTTCGTTCATTTAAAGTATACTAGGCTGCAGACGTTTTTCTCTCGCGTATGGCGTTTTGGCGTCGGCCGCAGGCCGAAGCCACAAACGGCGAAACCTTGACAAAAAAAACCCCTCTGGCACGGAGCACTCGTACGATTTACCGTTCCAGCTGACTTTGATCCTGTCATCGGACTATAGTGAAAACAATCAGATCGAACGTCTTCAATTGTGACATGAAGCACAGGTGGCCCAAGCGCGAAATCATGATAAGGATTTGTATGGGGGAAAAAGTTCTGATTTGTTTTTCCAAAGACGCGGTAGTCACGCATAGCGCGCGAAAGCTTAAAAACTCCATATTAGGAAGTACATTGTATTGGTTCCCTAAAAAAAGACAGCATTGGAACACGGTAATACTTATCATAATGATACATTCTTGCGGAACAACAAAAACGGAAAAACGGAACAACGGAAACTGAACAATTTCATTACTCTATTAGGGTGTGTCATGCTTGTGGCTTTTTTGTACCCAAGATTATAGTCTACAGCAAGGACTTCCGAAGGGACATCTGTCAATAACATAACACATATCAACAAACTATCACTCTACCTTTACGTTTATTTAATAAAAACAGGACTGGATATGAAAAAGGGTCCGGTATGAATAGATCAGTGATGGAATTGATTTACTTATTAGAAGCGCGTTCGATTCTACGCTAACAGATTACGGTAACCTGTCAAGGTGTTCGTAACGTGAAATTGCCTGAATAAGCAATGGGATAAAGTAAGAACGACACTGATTGAATTTCCCTTGATTCACTCCTGTTATTTGTACAGCCTTTGGCCGTATATTGCTATACGTTTATGGCCGAATATTCCACTCAAGTTTCAAATCTTGCACGAGTTCACCCCAGTTCTTTGTTCAGCGTTAAGTCCTATTCACGACAGTCTAGTGATGCACCAGTTAGAACAAGTCCTTACTTGTTCAGTTTTGTGTGTATCTATGTCACAGAGGACGTGGCGACAGTCAATTTGGTCTTGCAGCTAAAATATACAGAGCCTGCTCTCTCAAATATTCGTCCCATGACACCAATCTGCAATAATACAGATAAGCAGTTAAAATAGTCTGCGTATCAGGCGAGAACGCGCAAGCACGCAAGAGGAGGAAAGGAGTGGTGGCTCCTCTCCCCTTTGCGCGTTCCCCTCGCGCGGCCTGTAAAAAAAGAAAAAAAACTAACCAGCGCTTCCTACGCAGTCATTGAGCTGTGTTACCATAACCTACGAACGCAGACGTATTTCCAATCGTCGGAGAAGGAACGACCAGAAATACGTTTGCGTTCGCAAGTTATGTTGCTATGGTCGACAAAAGGAGAAGTAATTACCAACGTTCGGAGATCAGTAAACCAAAATGATTATAAGTGATCATTGGGGATTATAAGCCATTTTTTAGGCAGAGATGGAGACAGCGTCAGTGTTGTATCAAACTAGCTGTACTATGGGATTGTTTTGGGGACGCTATCACTTCTTTCATTGGCTGTTACGAGGTTTCACAGGAAACTGGGTCAAAACAATCCCATATTGCAATTCGGCACAACCCCGACCCAGTCCCACGCAAAAACTCAAAATAGTTGTACGGTAAGACCTGTGAAAGTTTACTTTCGTTCTTTCTTTAATATTTCACTTTCTATTGGTTGCTCCCCTGACCGTAAAACACTGAAAATAATGATAAAAAATGTTGTGTTATTGATTTCTGCGACCAATGAGGAGACGCAGTATCCTCTTCCATATATTGCGACCTGAACGTTCCAGGGGCCCGTTTCCCGAAAATCCCGCGGGAATTACCAGGCCCGGAACGATGTTTAGTTCGCATTCAAGACCGATGTTTTAATATGTTTGAATGTTAAGCAAGGAGACTATCAGTCTGCGAAACAAAATGCACTGGTTAGGGGATAGAGTGCCGAAAAAGTTCTTCGTTCTATGAAAAGCTCGCTCCACACGCTCTCTGTTGTGAAACTGAAACTCATCATGTTGACTTGTGGCAAGTCTCGTTAGGGAACAACCGGCGCTACCTTCCTTTTGGCTTTAGATTTAGATTTTAAAAGATGGCTTCGGGTCTGTAAGGTTGACGGGACATTCGAGAAGCGGAGCCCAGTACCTGTTTTTATCCGTGTCAGCATCCATGAACATCCTCGTATGGCGATCAACATGTCCAGAAATATCCCATGGATCGAGGCCTTTACCAAATGATGAACTCCTGAAGCACAATATATTTTTCGTATGAGCAAGTTACTTTTTATGGTGTGTTACAAACGGTTCCGGGGGGAGACTCCCAAATAAAATGACGAGGATGCTCGTCGTCTCGCTTACGGACGTAAATTGCAAACGTAAATTTTGGTCTCACGTAGGGCTGTGGATAAAGAAATTTACCAAAAATGCAGTGGTGTCTGTTTTAGTATGGTCTCCTATAAGGAAGTGGGGGGGTCAGTTTAGCCTCGCCCTCTTGGTCTCCCTTAAGGCTTGTTTTCACTAGCGACACAGTCGGACTTGGAGTCGTAAGCGAAGTCGTAAGAACACGTATGACCTAGTGAAATTAAAAAAAAATCAGAGTTGTAAGCGGAGTCATGAGCGCAACGGAGTCGGAGTCAGAAGAATCAGAGCGTTTCCATTCCTATTCCGACTCTGCTTACGACTCCGTCGCTTACGTTCCACTTGTGATCTAGTGAAAACCAGATTATCGGAGTCGGGAGAAGAAGCGGAAGGACCAAACCAATCACAATGCACGTTCCCACGCTTTGCGATTGGTTTGGTTCTTCTGCTTCTGCTTCCTACTCCGACAATCTGGTTTTCATTAGATCGTAAGCTCTACGCTTCTGATTACGCCGACTCCGACTCCGACTACGTCGCTAGTAAAAACCGGCCTTTAGGGGTTTAATTTTAATTTTCCGACGAGTATTCCTATAACTTATTTATGGGAGTCCCCCCGGAAACGGTTGCAAGGAAGACCAAGGAATACGGGACTGATTTAACTTACCGGTCTTTGTCGAATACTCTCAGATTTCCAAACCAACGGTTAAATCCAACAGCCACTTCGTGGGAGTTAATATATCCATCCTCATCTTTATCAAAAGCGTGGAAAATATCTCGAGCCTTCTGGATCTCGAGAGGGGACAGCATTCTAACAAGCTGAAACTGCAAGAAATAAGAATAACATTGAAGACACGTCCTGTTACCTGTTCGCATATAACCGCGCCAAAAAAGAAAATTGCGCGCGCCTTTCACGTTCTCGTGCGCCCGCCGAATTTTCCCCTACCCTTCGCGCAGGGTATCGGCAATTTAAGGTCGCGCGCGCGTGTAGGTTTATTTTGCGTCGAAAGGCACAGTGGGACTGTTTTCGGGGACGAACTTTGACCCATTTTCCCGCGCAACTTTGTATTAGCCAATAAAAAAGAAACCCCGAGACATTCCCATACTGCAATGTGACACAACACCGGCCCAGTCTCCCATGCAGCATCGACATGGCCCATTCGCAACTTTAAAAACAAAAAGGAAACTGGGCCGAGTTAGTTTTCGCAAAGATTTCGGGGACTGTTACTAGGGACAGTAGAAAAAAATTGGCCAATAGCTGACCGGCACCTCCATGGTGCAATTCGGCTGAACAGCGACCCCATCTGACATTCAACTTCAAAATGGCCATTAGCTTCAGTCGAGATTATTCTTGTGCCTATTGTCTTGTTAAACCATGGATAATAGAAAGACGACCTCCATACTAAAGTGCGGTTTTACGGATTATTTTCTTTGTTTATCTTTGTTAATTTTGTTGCCGCACAAAAGGATCACGAAAGATTTCGCGTGCTTAATATTGTGACGTCACATTTTTCCACTATGTTGGAATCGATCGCGTCAGCCAGTTTCCTATCCAGTCTTTCTATTATCCATGGTTAAACAAAGTTGTGTCACAAGTTGCGTGGGCCGAATTCTTCACAATGAAAACCATATCATGCAACTCTTTCCACCACGGCAATTTGAACAATCGGGGCCAGGAAAACAGGGGGCTAATCCACTACGGGACGAACTTGTAGAGAGCGAACTCACTGATGTTTCATGGAAAACTGTTTTGTCAATTGATTGCTTAGAAAATCAGAAAGAAAAATTTTCTTACCTTACTTCTGTTTGCACCGATTCGCTTTAAAGCTTCATGATTTAGGAATTCCCACCAATCAATTGTACCCGTTTGATCCTTATCCATTTGTTTAAACTGTCCAAAAAAAGACATGGCACTACTCATGGATCAGAAGTTAACAAGGAAAAAAAGCGGTAGGTTTAGGCTGCGTTCACACGGCACTGGACAAGTCATGTTCACACGGAACTAACGAACCACCAGTAACCATTTTCTCATGAGCAGAGTGCTACTTAATCAAATCCAAATGGTCTTCCAGCTGACTTACCACAGCTTCGACTTACAAAATTTAGACGCTTACGGTGTTCACACCGCACGGTAATCTCGTACCCAGCCGGATCTCTTGTTGACGAAGCCGAAGGCGAAAACTGGTCAAGTAAGAAAATTTGATATTTTCGATTGGCTAGATTGTGAGAGAATGACGCGATTGTCGTCATTTGCGCCCGCTATGGCGTGTGCTATTTATTCCTTACAGAGTCTTCAGTAGAGTCTGCTCAAGTAAATATTTTTACTGAAGAAGTAGTTTTCCGTCTTAATATAAGTTGTAAAATCATTTTTGTCTTATCCTTAAAGACTTTTTAGAACGCTCTCTCGGTATCAAGATAAAGACGCTAGAAAAGGGTAAAAAAATTGTCGCTTAGAAGTTGACGCGTACTGCTTTGAGCTTTAAGCGAGCGCTTTTATTAATAAATTTTTAATTAACTTCTGCGTTGAATTTGATGTTACAAAAAACAACAAATCAGTTGGTTCATACTTACGCCCTTCGTATAACCACGTTTTGTTAGAGAAAACTTCACGGCTCTATCAAATTCGTTTTTTAACATGTCGAAACACGGCTGCCATTTTGAGAATTTATTTCAAGAATGCGCTCTTTCTTGCCTGTCACATTCCTGACAGGCGCGATCACGTGCACAAATCGGATTTGACCAGATCTCGCCCTCGGCTTCGTCGACAAGAGATCTGGGTACGAGTTTAACCACACGGGTCCAATTTTTGACTTTACTGGCAGCTAAAAATTTGATCTCAATTTTGGCGTTCAAATTTTTGAACGACTAGGCGACTAAATTTTCGTACGAATAAGGTGGCTCGGAACACCTATAAACGTACGAATTTTCAACTGGTTGAAAATTGGATATAGTCACCTTTGAAATTCAACTTCAGAAAAACTCGGCAACATTTGACAAATTCAACGGGGTAGAATAGCAGCAACAAGATTTGAAACAGTGGGAATTCAGTGGCGGTTCGACTGTATTTATAATCTCTTTTCTTCATGATCGAACTCTAACTTCGTGGTCAAGGCTAAACCGAAACTGAAGGTTCTTATTTTTCCTCGTTTGATCCTTATCATTTATGTTCGTAGAAAGTTCTTCACTTTCATAAACCGCTTTGAGGAAATAAGATCATCAAACTCTTTGATCAAAAATTACTAGTACCTCATTCCTAATCTCTTCTTCCATATAGCTTGGCATTTTCTCGTTATGTATTTCTCTGTATTCTCCGGTTTTATATCGTAGGTATTCATCTTCATTAATCTGGGTATCTGAAAAAGATTAACCTTCAATTATTACTAATCAACGACGAAAATGTTCTTAACTGTATTTTAACTTGGGACTAAAATTAGAAATAAAATTAAAGTATTGTATTAAATAAGAGGCTACGCTGTACTCTGATTGGCTAGATTGCAGAAAAGTCCGTTTTTTTGCGCAGGTCAAGAACGCGCAAACGGACAAACGAAAGGTATGGAGCGTGTGAGTTATGAAACAACGCCGGCGCTACGTGACTTAGGGTTGATTTCCAGTGTCACATAATTTAGCCTGCAAGCAAGTTCTCCTATTTGGGCAAGCGAAGTGAGCCTCGCGAGACTCGTTTCACTCGCCCAAATAGGAGAGCTTGCTCGCAGGCTACACATAATTTTAACGTGCATACTGCGTAAAATTTACGTTCGCGAATAAAATAGAGGCAATGGATGAAAGCTCGCTCGAAAGCCTAAAAGTTGAACCTCGCTCAACTACTCGTTTAAGCTCAGCACTTTTTATCTTGCCTCTATTTTATTTACGAGATTAAAATTTACGTCTGTTAACGTGCGTAGCCCAAAACGCGTTGGTGGAAATCAACCTTTAGCCTGGGACCAGGTTCCGCAGTGGGGGAAAAAGGCAAAAAACGGGGTTAAATAGAAAAAATATCGGCGAACGAAGCGAGCCGAGTGGTGGCCTGGGGAGGGGGAAAAGGCTCGCCGATTTTTTTCGCCCGCGTCGATTTTTTCCTCCTGTCCCCCAATGCGGATCCTGGTCCCAGGCTATTTGTGCCTTAAAAACGATTATGAGAAATATAATACGCTTTTGGCGAATACAAATAGGAGACTATATACAGTCCATCCATTGGCCGTTTAGAGATTCAATTCGTTTTTTAATTTAATACTTTGAAGTTGACATTGAATAGGATTTGCCCCATTGTTGTTAATGATTGAGCAAGACACTGAATAAATTTCGGTCTATTTTGCTATTTCAGTTCTGGTATTTCGCAGCAAATTGTCAAGCAAGGTGTCTATTACACAAGGGGCGTTTATTAAAGATAAGCGTCTGATAGAAACTTAAAAGTGTACGTAAAGTGTAGTGGATACGGTACGGTATATTTGTTTATTTTATTCACTTATTGCCAAATTTGGCAGGTTCACGGCAACAGCATGACGCCAATTACTGCGGGCTCCGCCCTACCCCCATAAGAGATATACAACACCACCGGGGTCTACGTCCCCTACTCTTTTCGAACAGCAGTGTGGGTTATTTACGTCCCTTTCCAATTGATAAGAAAGGATGAAGAAGACAAGGCCAACGGCTTAACGTCACTGCCGTATGACGCAAACATCTTAACTAGATGTAAGATCAGATCGTTAATCACAGCCGGCATGATCTCGCCAGTTCTTTAAAGACCGTGATTGTTGGTCCGGCCGGGCTTTGAACCCATGACCTTCCACTCAGAAGACCGGCGCTCTCCCAACTGCGGGGAGTTTTAGCATCGACGACAGCGACGGCAGCGAAAACATCACTTTTAAAATGAATTAGCGTTTTTTCAAACTTTGTCGCGTTTATTCCAATTCGCTGAAAATGTCTAATGTAGGCAAATTTCCCTGGAGTTGATTTCTTGGGACCGCATTCAAGTTTAGAAAGAGAAACAAAATTTAGTCGTCGCTTGTTGACGTCCTTTACAAAACGTGAAATTAGACATTTTCACGTCGTAGTCGTGCAGTAAAGGCACAGAAATGTACAAAAAAAGCGTCACGCACGTGCAAACTTGTTGTTTTGCTTAGTAAACTTATTGCTATTTTGAGGTTCTCGTTGCCGTCGCCGTCGTCAAAACTCCCTTATGCTAACTGGGCGGCGATTTAGTACCGCTATGGCCTCCCACGCAGACGTTGTTAGAGGTTCGTCACGCGTTCTAAGAACGTCTGCGTTTAGTAGAGGCTAGTACCACTAGTGCTTTGAATAAGATTGAATGGATTCAGTTTAAAACCTTAATTGTAAATAGCGTAACATTAACATGTCATTACCTTGATTTTTATCTAGTTTATCAAAATTTTCTATCAACTGTTGCATTTCTTCATCTGTTAGAAGGGTTGTCACACTTTCCTGTGAGATATAATTATGTTAAAAAAGTTCTTAAAAGCCCGAAAAACAAAAAGCCTAGCCCAAAATTAACCTGATACGAATATAGACCAACAAGGACGTATGGAAATTCTCACCTATTTCTAGAGTAAAAATTAATTTTGTCTTAGTTGTACGTAAGCCTATAGCCAAATGTGGAATATAAATAGGCCCTTTGCAGCTAGCCTGCACAGTGTTCAAATAATCTAGAAATTAGTCAAAGTGGGTCATATGCCCCACATGGAATTAAACTGGGCCAATTAAAAAATGATCTGGTTTATTAAAACTATGATATGGAAACTTTGAACAACTGACATCATCCAAACTATCATAAGCTTTACCACCATCCTTACCCAGTCCATTTTCATACTTTTTAAGTTCAACTGCCATTCTCCTCTTTTGAGTAAAAAATGAACTTAAGTAGATTTTGTTGTGGTTTCATAATGAAATAATGTGCGCATTAGATCATATATTTGAATGCTACTTTGTGCCTAATAAATAATACATTATTATTCATTAAATTATTGAAAGGAAAACAAAAGAACAAAGTCAAATGAATCAATCGGCAAAGCAACCTGTCGGAACCTCGAAATTTACAAGACCTGCACATGAAAGATTTACTGACACAAAACTACTCTTAAGCACGAAGTCTGAAATGACAGTTATTTTGCACCCCGGGGGGGGGTGGACTTCAAATGGACAGGAATGATCAAACGACAGGGATGATCAAAGGATTCTTTGGGGTTTGAAATTTTCAATTTCGGGATTTTTTGAGGTAGGAAAATTTTGGCAAGTATTTTTTTGGGTAGCTTGATTTAAGTAGGGATTTTTGGGGGTATTCAAGACAATCTGAAGATTTGTGATAGTTCCTGTGTATCCTGGCGGCATAGTTCCTCTGGAAATTTTTGTGGTTTGGAAATTGGGATTTTTTGGGGTTAAATTTTGGTCGAGGGATTTTTTGGGGTTTTGTTTGAAGCCCTAGGGATTTTTTTGGGTTTTGATTTTTGCTCCCATTCGACCATTCTTGTCAGTTGAAATCTGGAGCACCCGCTCCCCCTGCCAGGGTTTTGCAAGCTCATTCCAGGCTAGTAAGCAGTTATTACTGTAATGGGGTTTGACTGTATAATTTTGGTAATACAATACATTAATAACACCATTGTACTCACACAATCATGGCAACTCCATCCAGTTTCAGTGTTTGCCTTCCTAAATGCTTCCAATTCAGACTGATCATACAACTTGCCTTTCTTCTTTAAGCACAGTTCATGAAAAACCTTGCAGCAAACTCGGCAAGGGTGAACTTCAACTCCCGTGTATGCACGGCACACAGAACACAGCTCCTCATAGTCAACCTTGTTTGTAAAGTAAATAAATATATATATAAAATTATCAACATGCAAGTATGCTTCATACCTGTAGCTACAGCTTATTTGTGCACATTTTTGGTGACAAAATTTAATTTGTTTACAGGCAAAGACTATACCCTTGGTTGTTATTACATGAATCACAGTTCTGCTTTTTAACAAGTTGATAAGATCTGTAGGACCGGGTTCATTAAGTCTATATTTTCATTGAATTGTTTTCTCTAAAACAAGAAAAGTAATTTAAATAGATAAATTTAAATGTGGAGGTTTAATATTTGGTTTTGACAAGAAAGGGTGGGGGAGGGAGCATACATGTACATGCATATAGAGATGCTTATACTTATGAGAATATATTCCAGTCAACTATTATTGCTCATTAATTAGTTTTTATCATTTAATATATAATTTAATTATGATGGGCCTAATAAGAAAGCTTACCTCCACCATTTCTTTACACATGTCTACTTTAGCCTTTTCAAAACAGATTACATATTCCACTCACACCTGAAGGCTTGAAGTCCCTTTATACGGATTAAAAAATTACAGTTTGTTTCTGAGGTCTGAAATTTACAAAATAATAGTGTAGCTTATAGACAATTATTTGAGGTCAAGTTTATTTTCCACTGTTTAATATTCCTACTAATCCTATCTTTCTCCAATTGATTTCTTCATCATGACTTAACAAGTTATTTCCCCTGTTTATTTTTGTAACTGATCCTATTTTTCTTCAATAATATACAACTATCCCCCAAAGGGGAGATGAATATAGTGGTGGATATATACTGAGATGTGAAGCATCGAGGTATATATCTAGCCCTGTTCACCGACCCTTGTAATCATACTCGCAATTAAACAAATCGGATTTGATTTTGTTAATCACTCGTATGATTACAGACCGAATTAGACTCCCTACACTCAGTCCTATTACCATCATTCATTCATGTTATTGTAAGTTACTATTAGTATTTTAAATTTTTATCACTATTTTTTAACACTTTTTATTTATTTGTTTATTTATTTTATTTGAGACATTTAGTACTCTAACTACAAAGAACTAATTAATTTAAAGGAAACTAATTACAAAATTTTTAACACTTGCATTCAAGATTGGGGATAGCCAATCGGAACTGCCCTAATAACGGATGAAGAAGCAAAAAACGCAATTGCAAAGGCAGCTTTTGAAATTTAGAGTTCCTGTGTTTGTTAAAAGTACATTAATGTCTGTAAAATTTTGCAATCTTGTAGAAATATATTTTATCACTCTTAAAATATCACTCCCAAATTTACAGTAACTGAAACAACTTAATTTAAACTGGGAACCATCTCTTCCCATCAGTGTTGATGACTTTTTGCAATCTGATTCAAGTCAACAGTTGGAAAAGTTGGTCTCTATTAGGGATCAAATAAAGCCTTAGCCATGCCCAGATTAACATTTTTTTTTTTTTTTTTATTAATTTATTTATTTATTTTAACAAACAACAAATTAAATACAAGTAAAAAGTGACAAAAGACAGAAAAAAAAAAAAAAAAAAAAAAAAAAAATCACATCAATTGAGAGGAGAGCAGCAGGCTAAAAGCAAATAGCGAAGTTGATACATGTGGTCCTTTTTTCCTTTTTCTCTCCCTACTCTTTCCCTACTCTTTCGTTTTTTTTGTTTTTGTTTTTGTTTTGTTTTTGTTTTTTTTTTCCTTGGGTAAAAGGGCACAGTCAAAACCAAAACAAAGCACAAAAGAGATATAGAAAAGAAATTTATATTTAATTAAGTTTTGGAGACTCAGGTCAAAAGGCTTATATAAGGCAACAAGGGTTCCCATTTATTTTTGACAGTGGAGGCATTGTTTTCTATTTGATAAATGTGTTTCAAATAAAGCAAAAAGTTGTTTAAGTTGGGGGGATGTTCTTTTGAGCGACAAAGCCAGATATGGTGCTTGGCAATTAAGCAACAAAAATTGATTTGGAGTTTGTGTTTAGATCTATCTGGCCTCAGACCCAAAGCCGTATTTATGTGTAAGTAATATTATGTTCACCTAAAGAAAGTTGGCAAGACTGCATCCACTTAAAAAGACTATCCCAAAAATTTTTTGTTTTTTCGCATCTCCAAAATAAGTGTATCAAGTTTTCCGTTTCCTTATTACAAAAAGAACACTTATCATCGTCTCTAAGTCCAACATTTTTTAAGAAACAGTTAGTTGGTAACCGGCGATGTAACAGTTTGAAGTTGAAAGTGATAAGTTTACTGCTCTTTGTGCATTGAAAGGATGTTTGATAAGCGACTTTCCAGTTAATAATTTCCTTTAGGGGAAGATTGATGTCTTTGTACCACTTTTCTTGACATGAAATTGGCCTTTCACAGTTTTTTGACACAATTTCTTGGTAGATAAATTTAGATGGCTTTTGACTCATAAGAAATTTTGAAAAGCAATTTTCAAATAAAGCCTTAGCCATGCCCAGATTAACATGAGTCTAACCACTGCTCGCTTTGACTAGCTAATCTGCTAACTGTGGGCAGTGGATATTGCTTTCTGTAAAATTTACAATAATTAATAAAAAGTTGAACAGTTGACAGCTGAACTTGCAAATTCTTCTGAAACTCAGTGTGGCACTTAAGTTATCCCCTGCCAGGCAGGTTTAGGAACTGGTTTGGTGACCAACAAGGAATACAGTGGGAGCTCTCATAAGTGGACACGCACCGTCGAGAGGCAAAAAAGGTGTCTGTAACTGGAGCTTGCAGTTTACGGGAAATTAAAAATACAGAGTCCGTATGGACGATGAGAAAAACAGGGTTTTGTGAAGGTGGCCATAAGTATAAGAACTGTCTGCTTACAAGAGAGTCTATAAGGAGAGTGTCATGAGGACTCCTACTTTGTTTCCTCTTGCATGTTTTACCTATGTGATTCTTAAATGAGCATTGCCATCTCTCAACCAGCATCCCTCTACCAGAGATTATACCCTCTCAGCCCCTCAGCCATCCCCCCTCTCTCTCCCCACCCTAGCACCAGGTATTGGAAGCATGATAAACAGTGAATTACCGCTGAATACAAACATTAACGGCACATTTATACAGGGTTAGCCTCAACGTAAAGTAAAATATTCAGAAATTCCGGCAAGTAAGTGTTTGAAATTTGAATATACACAATAGACAGAGTAATAAACAGGTCTTTTTCTCGTTGGAATTTGTGAATATATTACTTCAGATGGAGGCTAACCCTGTAAAAAATGCGTCTTCACTTCTCTAATTCAGCGGTCATAGCGAACTCGTAACTGCACTATACCTGGCTTTTAACACTTACTCTATTTTTCCAAGCACCAAAGTATGGGACAGTAACGGCAGATTTGTCATTTTTGTCCCAGTAGCCTGTCGTCCCACTGACATAGGAATCTGCATGTCCCAAATTTGGAAGACCATACGACAGCGACGTTTTGTCATGATTCATGCTTGCCATGTGTTCTCTGTCCAAATCATCATCTCTTGAGGAAAACCTGGCGTTTTGCAGCTCGTTTGAATTATTCTGTGTTTGTCTTTCAACTGACAGGCTATCTTTGCTGTGGTTGCTAACAGTAGGGCTAACTTTGCCTTTGTTGTCCTTCGAAGCCGTCTTGAGTGCTGACACAACCGCGGCGGTCTGCTGGACTTTTTTAGTCCGATTTTGATTTTCTTTGGAGACAATGACTCCCATTGCCAAACCTTGCCAAATCGTGTCAAAAATTCGAGTTAAACGTCACATTTTTTCTGTGGGAGATTCACATTTTGTTTTTGGTTACAGATTTACTTTTGGAATGCAAACAGTTGAACCCAGTGCCCAAACAATCCACTTTACCGAGTGAGAGCTGATGCGAGGTATCCCATAATAGTAGTTCCGGCCGAAGCGAACACACGTTGAAACTGATTCAAGGTTCTTTTTGCGAAAAGGAAAATTTTAGCGGACAAAACGTACACTAGATGGCCGAGGAAGGAGAGCTTTCGTCCCCCGATGAACTGGAAACAAGTAAGATTTTGTAATTACTGTTAAAGGGAATAATACAGCGAAAACTGAGTGCAGTTTTTAGTGATTGCAGAAAATGACGCTGTCGCGTATGGATTAATTTATTTCATATCACGAGTTCTTTCAGCAATGCAAAATTCTTTCCTTTTGCGGATGTTTTTGTTTATTTGTTTCCTCTTAATCTGTTTATGCCTTTATTTTTTCATTGAAATCGTCAACAGGGCGATCGCTGGGTGTTGAAAAGGGCAAAATTTAATTAGCATAGGCAGTTGTTTTGTCAGAAATTAACAATCCGGTTGATTACGTAAATACTGTAATGAAAATATTGTTCGAGTGAGGCCTTAACAGCAATAATTAAAGATTCAAGTTAAAATCCGAGCTTTCACCGATCAAAAGATTCCACGCGGAGTGGTATATACCCATTTTCATCAACTTTGTCAGAGAAAAATGCAAAAAAGAAAAATGTGAAAACCCAAATTATATATAGGAATAAAAGCTTAATTAACTAGACATACTGATAAATCACTTTAGGGTGCATCCATTTGCACCATATGCATACATCCGTGCATTTGCGTTTGTTTTATGCTTTAAAAACACCTATGCTGCAAAAGAATGCATCCTACAGCCATTTATTAGTAATTCCTATTTAGCTTTTGCCTGTTTTTTCTTTTATTATATTTCCAAGACAGTGTTATTGTAATTAGGTGTGTTTAAAAGTAGATTTAAAGTAAAATGCATGAAAGATGTAAGAACGGGGCAAAGGATGTTTAAAAAATTTAAACTGTTTACTGGAGTTTAAGCCCTTCTGTTATGAAAAAACCCCAAGCTTACAATTAACTTAAACCATTAATGTCCAGTTCTTAGTCTATTATTCAAACTCATCGAACACCTGTGATACTGGTTGGTTTCTAAATAGTACATTTTTTCCTATCAGTTCATAGTTTAAGTAAGCACCTTCCATGTGGCTACCTTTAATTCCTTCTTTATGATCATCAAAATTAATTCGCTGTTACAGGCTGTGATGGTGTAGAACTCAATGTTCTTGATGACATACTGGGTGAACCTGCAAATGATGAGTTTGCTGCAGAGCTTGATACTGCTGTTACCAAAACAAGTGGTAAGTAAATAGTCACTCAGGGATGAAACCAAGAACTGGCTGCTGGCTAATTTATCCTGCTGAAAAAGAGCTTATCACCAGCTCAAAGTGAAAGAAAAACAAATATGTGTGGGAATTTTAGAGATGCAGATTAGTAAAACAGCTGGCTTGACTAGCAAAAAAGCCTGCTTATCATTTTCTTAGCTACTTCCCTGGGTACTCTAAGATGAGGGATGGGTGTTTGTATGTCCCTGAAATTCTAAACCTGTTGTTTCACATATTTGGAAAGAAAGCCTTGTCCCTATTTGTGTGTTTCATAGGTGTCATTGCAGTTTAACCATCTTTGTGTCGTTTGTCGCCATTTCAGCTGTCTTATCAAGGCTGTGCTCCAAAAAAAATTGAAGGAACCCGGTGCTCTGAACCCATGAAATCCAGGTTGCCAAGCATATGGTTTCTATAAAAAACTAAGATTTTCTAGCTGCCCAGGAGCAAAAGTTAAGCACCAGGGGCAACCGGGTGCTGCTAGAGGATAGTCTTGCCGATGTTGCTATTTCCAAGCGATAAAGTATTGCTTGTTAGATGTTTACCCTAACAGTTTCTCAGTAAAAGTTATGATTTGCTCTACTGTGAATTGTGTGATAGGCTTATTGTAAACACAATGCAGGCATGAACTTTGTACCATGTCAGGGCAAACAACTGGTGGTTGCATGGTCACCAATTCAATCTTCAAATGGTGCAGGATGACTAAAAAGGTCAAATTTGGGTCAAATTCTGTCTCTAACCACTTAGTGACCTTAAGTTCAATCCTTTTGCCACATTTGAAGATTGCTGACTGGTTTACCTACTGCCATTTTTGAATTTTAACTTGTTGTGTTGAACATAAAGATATTGTGTATTATTATTATCTAAAGAGACCTGTCAAGGAGAGATTATGATCAAGTGTTTACATTGAAAAATTGAAATTATTTTATTTTCTAGCACCCAGCAGAAAACGAAGGGCAAGCAGTAAGGAGGTAAAAGGTGATGATTCAAAGAAGAGGCATGTTGAAAAAGAGCCCAGCCCGAAGACTCAAGTGAAAGAAAAAAGCACAGCGAGTGGACAAAGCTTGAAAAACTCAAGTACAACTCAAGGAAAATCCAGTAGCAAGACAACAAAGGTCGCTTCTGCTGATGTTGATGGTGCAAAAAACGATGCAGAACAGGAGGTTAAGCTGCAGGTTAAAGAGAAGGAAAATCAGAATGGGAAAGATGTGCCTGTTGAAAGTAAAACTAAACACGAGGAAAAGGAGAAAACACCCAATAAGGTCAAGGTTAATAGTGGTGGCAAGGAGAAAGAGAAGGTGAAGGATAAAGAAAGCTCAAAGAACAAACAAAAAGATTTGAAAGCTTCTGATGGAGATGCCAGCAGCAAACCTACTGAAAAGGAAGTGAAGAAGAAACAAGAGCAAAGATCTGGAAGCAGCGAGAGTAATAATTCTAAAGAGGTTGTGGCTAAGGACAAACAAAATGTGAAGAAAGTTGAGAATGCTGCCAAGAAGACTGCGAGTCCCAAGAGGAAAGAAGCTGTAAAAGTTGCAAAGAAAGAAGTTGTGAAGAAAGAGGCTGCGAAGAAAGAGGTTGCAAAGAAAGAGGTTGTGAAAAAAGAAGTTGTAAAAAAAGAGGTGAAAAAGGAAAGCAGTAAGAAGGTAGCTGAGAGCAGCAGCAAAGTTCAAAACAAAGTCACAAAAGAGAAAGGAAAAACAACACCTGCTGAGAAGAAGAAAAGTACAGCGGCATCAACCAAGAAAGAGGTTAAGTCAGCTGAGAAAAGCACACCTAGTGAAGCCAAGTCTAGCAGAACTCCTCAAACATCCACTACCACTAATAAGAAAGACAAACAATCTGAGGTGAGTTTATTTTTCTTGAGAACTGTCATTTGTACCAAAAGTTATGTATTGTAGGAAAGATAGTCGGATTAATTTTTGTTCATCTGTATGAATATTAAGTCTATCCCCTTCAATGCTGGAAGGATTTATACAACTAAAAAGTTTTTTTTCAAGGCTGCTCAGTAGTTCAAGGCAACCACCAAAATGACTTGGTTGACTTGCTCAAGCTTATTGCCTGGAGCCTGATTTGCAAACATGTTTAAAGTCAAGTTATACTCTTAGTATTAATGCAATTGTAGAATAATTATGTCTTAACCTTGGAGAACTTCCAAAATCTGGGTTCCCAGCTGTTGAATTTCCATCTGGATGTTGCCTGGTCTCTAGGACATTATTTTAAAAAGTTGTTTAAGGTTTGTTTTTCCTCTTAAATGAGAGTATCAAGGGCATGCTGATTAGCTACAGTGTACATGATTATAAAAGCAGATCTGTACAGGTTTTTTTTGTTTGTTTCAGGACAAAAAGAGTGCTGTCGATTCGAGTGAGGAAATCACAGAAGCTAAAGGTTAGAGATTGTGTACTGGCCTTGGCATCTCAGGCATCTGAATTGCACTCATTAGTGACATGTTTTAGATTAATTTATTGACAAACTAGATCATGCATACCCCTATAGATTCAAATTGCAAGAAAAATGGTTTAAATTCCTAATTTACTATGTGGATTGAAAGCTGATTTTCAAGCTGATCTGACAACAATGACTTAATAAAGCAAGTGCAGTTAAACCCATCACTAACTGATGGGTGTGGGGAAAATGTCTGAGTAAACTGAGGGAGCTGTGAGCAAGAGTGACGGTAACCGTGACAACTCTGTGAGCGGCAACCACCATTGTCTTGTGTTTGACCCTTTAAGCCCCAATATCCACATACAAATTCTCCAGACTGATCTCTATACATTTCCTTCAAGAATAAGTTGAGAGAATTTGATAAAAGATCAAGGCATTTTCCCTTAGGTGATCCTTTCATTAATTCTCATAACCTAATCTCTTGACATTGTATGGATATCGTTAGGAGAAAATTGACGTTAGACACTATTGGAAGTTAAAGGGTTAACCTCGCCAAAATACATTTAGGCACATTTAATTAACTAATTATTGGTATAAAATAATTTATAAACAATATTAGACAATACTTAGGCTGTAAACTGACTTTCTTTGTACCCTGGGAAAGCGAAATGTGTGAGCTTCTTGTCCTTTTGCTAAAATTCCAATTTTTGTTTTAGCCCTGGACCGGATTTGACTGTAACTTGATTTTGCAAAACAATTCTTTTGCTTTATAGACTCAAATGACCATCTTGTTTCTTCAGCGGACGATCAGCCTGTGGAAGAATCCTCATCAGAAAACAAAGCTACATCTGCGGAGGAGACAGAGAATGCGAGCAAGTTTGCAGCCGGTGGTAAAAAGGAGGAAGAAGAAGAGACAATGGAGGTTATTGATGATCTGGAAGAGGGTAGCGAGGGAAGTAACTTCAGTGCAGATGAAGAGTTTAGTGATGGGGATGAAGTAGTTGGATCAGCGACACCCTCCTCATCTGCATCGTCTAAATCGGAATCAGGTAATAATAATAGTGCTTGTCATATATTGCACAAATTAACATACCGTAAAATTCCGAAAATAAACCCCTCCATGTATAAGCTCCTCCAAATATAAGCCCCCCCAAACTCGTGACCCTCCGTGAAATCGTGAAATTGCCTCTCCGAATATAAGCCCCCCATGGGCTTGTACTTGGAAAATTGCCCTCAAATACAAAGTAAAACAAAGCAAAAACGGTAAATTTCCTTCCAACTATAAGCTAGCCCAATTGATTTTGCAACACAAACTTCCCTCCATAAATAAGCCCCTCAAAATTTTATGGTAAAAATATGATCAAATGGGCATTACACAAATGAAAGTAGGTATCTAGTGTAAGTAAGTATCTAGGGCCTGATTCCTCAAAAGATGGTTAAGGCTACATTCATATGGCAGCAGAGGAATTTTCGACTGGGCGAAAAATTTTAGCAGACACTTTGTTCACACTGAACTGTGCAATTATTTTCACTCTCTTCACATGGAACTTACAAACCAGGTTGAATCTTAACTTTTGTGAGAGGTTGTACCATCTGCCCATGCACGGAGCACTCCTTTAGCAAATCCAGAATGCGTACTTTCATGCAACTGCACTTTTGCTGTTTTATGATGTTCACACTGTGCTGGTCAAATTGTCAACCATACCGGCTTAAAATCTTTTCTTCATTTTGGCATTTATAACAAAGCTAGGAGTCAGATTAAAGCTAATCACAAACAGTGATGGCATTATTTTGATAAATGCAATGCCACTTTTTTAAAGTAACTGACTTTTTCTTTTATAGAAAATCTGAGCGATGCAGAAGACAATGAGCAAGAAAAGAAATCCAAAGTGAAGAGAAGAAAGAGGAAGGCCACATCTCCAGCAGAAGGGACTCAGTCAAGTGATGAAAGTGACAACTCGTCAACAGAGAGCCTTCACATCAAAAGCAAAGTGGCTAAGGCCTCATCCAGACAGAAAAACAAGGTTGATGTGGAGGACTTTTTTGAAGAGGCTCGGTATTTTGTGATGAAGAGCAACAATCATGAGAATGTTGCACTCTCGAAAGCAAAGGTAAACATACAGCACAGTTTCTGAAAATATTTTTTTAATTGTTCATTCAAAATAGTTGCAACTTCAAAACATTCTTTCCTTGGTTTATGTTAAGTTCCTGACTTGGTAACATTTTGACCGTTTATCATTGGTTCCAGGATATGAAAGAAAGTTTACAAATGTATTCTAGCAGATAACATTCCACTTTTCAAATTTTAAGGTGCTGCAACACCTACCATCCATGTCGATGGATGCTTTTGCCAAGTGGTTTTTGTTCAGTTTTGTTTTGAACTCTGAAAGGGTCAATATAATGTACCTCTTAACACACACTCAAACTTGGTTTAAAAGATCTTTGACCATGGTGACAACCAAGCATTTAACTTCCAGATTGGACTACTGTTGTTTTGTTAGTAAATTGTTCCCAATCTGTGCTTTATGAACATGAACCCCTGCACTGTGCTGAAAAAGTGTAATGTTTTTTTTTCATCAGGGTGTATGGTCAACACCTAAGGCAAACGAGAAGAAGCTTAATGCAACATTTAAGGTGAGTTTCTTTGTGTGATACTTAGTTTCCCATTGCTTTTTAACCAACAGTATTATCAAAAAACAGTTGCTGTCATGAAATTGCAACAAGTGGACAGTGCTTTTTGTTTGTTTGTTTGTTTGTTTGTTTTATGAGCTGGTTTAGAAATAAATAGCACAACAATAAAGGTCAGTTGATAATTAATTTGATATTTGAATACTGTTCACAAATGGAAATTTTAGGAATTGAGTATGCTTACGTGTGCCGTTAATAATAACTAATGCATACAGTTTATTTCAGAGTGGTGGCAAATTTTTGTGTACTTTCCTATTGTGTTGGTGATAATTGACCCTCAACTGTCACATTTCACAGTAAAAGATCTTTTGAATTCTGTAGATGAAATCAAGGCAAACATAAATATAAAATTAAATTACAATCGCCACCATTTTGGAATAAAGTGTGTTAGTCTAGACCTGAGAAAACAGTCGACATTTCACAACACCACCACTTTTACGTCTGTGGAAAGAGTGCGGAAATTCCACACTGGCTGATGTGCCACGAGTACTACTCAGATCTGGGTATAAGCAAATTTCCCACTTGGCTAAACCGATTAGAAGCACTACCCAGATCTGTTAGTGATGCGTCATCATATGCAGAGTTCGCACGCACCCTGAAAGTCCGTGAATTTTAAAAAAAAATTCTAGGCCTTGAAAATCCTTGAAAATTGCAGTTGTTGCTGGAAACTTCTTGAATTTCGGTGCTAACTTTATCCAACCCAGATTCTCAAGTGCCTACAAGGAGCAAACACCTTCAGGATAAAATTGGTCGTGTTGTGGAGGAACTAAAAAAAGACATAATACTCAAGGTTCTTTTTTGCATGGAATGGAGACCTTGAAAAATATGGGAAATGTGTCCTTGAAAGTCCTTGAAAAGTCCTTAAATTTTCTGTTCAAAAAAGGATATGAACCGTGAGTATGGAATTTCACGGTTGTTCCTCAGACATCTTTTCACAGTGAAATCAGAGGCAGCATCGCAAACTGTCAACTGTTTCCTTTGGCTAGTATTGGTCCTTTTGGTTTTTCAAGCTACCTGTACAGTGGTCATGTTCTATTTCGATCTCTTCTTTCAGAGGTACAAAAATGTCATCTTAATCTTTTCTGTAAAAGAAAGTGGAAAATTTCAAGGATTTGCTCGTCTTGCATCAGAAGCAAAACATGGAGGCCCAACTATGCCGTGGGTATTGCCGCCAGGAATGAGTGCTAAGGCTCTTGGAGGAGTGTTCAAACTTGAATGGCTAAACAGGTATCACTGAAACTTAGGCAATTTGTGCATGCTCATTGGTTCTGACCTATTGTTTATAATAGAATGAATGCAATAGTTTACCTCCTCTATCTTCAAACCAGCATACTATCTTTATCCAGTAGAGTACATTGTACAGTGCAGTTATTGGTAGTAACCCTGTTACTTAAGTAATGAATACATTTTTGTAGGTCCAGCCTCACTGTGGGCATCCCGTGCCATAAGTAGGCTGATTGAATTCAGCTTTTCTCAGAATCCTCTGCTTTGATGCCACATGGTCTCGGTCAACTTCAAAAAACAATAGGTTTAATGATCAAGACAAGAGCTCTGCACGTGCATCACGCTTTTTAGTACATTTCTTTGACGTCCTCTGCACGACTACGACGTGAAACCTCCTAACTGGACGTTTTATGGAGGACGTGGACATACGACGTCGAATTTTCTTTCCTCTTTTTGAATGGAATAAGATCCTTAAGAATTCAACTCGAGGACGTTTTAGCGGGTCCAAATAGACGCGATTAAGTTTGAAAGAACTCAAATTCCTTTTTTTAGCGACATTTTCACTGCCGTCGTCGTCGTCGTTGCGTAAGGTCCCTAATAACGAACTTTGGCAACGGCGACAGCTACGGCAACGAGAACATTAAAAAAAAGACGTACTTTGCTCGTGATCACGCTTTTTTGAACATTTCTTTGCCGTCAATGCACGACTACGACGTGAAAACTATGTCTAGTTTCCCTTTTTATGAGGGACATGAACAACCGAAGACGAATTTTTACTCCTCTTTCTAAGTACGGTCTCCATCAAATCAACTCCAGGGAAATTCCCCTTACATTTCACATTTTTAGCGAATTGGAATAAGCGCGATTTCATTTTAAAAGTGACGTTTTCAAAACCGTCGCCGTCGTCGATGATTAGAGAGCTTTAGATTTGAGGACGAGGACGACTGCGGGTGCGAGATTTTACTTCAAGTTTTTTCGCGTGTTGTCGAAAAATATTTAACCCGGAAAGCTTCATTGTACTATTTGTTCTCCTGAAAAATTAGTGCAATTATTTTTATTGGAGAAGGTTTAGCCCTTTCCCGGTTGCAAAATGATTAAACATCTAAAATTTGATAACTTGTTCCCGCCACTTCGACATTTTCTCGCTGAAACTCGTATTAGAATGACGGCAGCTACCACTTTTTCCCGCCAAAATGACGTTTGTTCACGCGCGAGCACTACTTAGTACTGAGAAAAGCTCGTACTCGTCTTAGAATTTAAAGCTCTCTATTACTGTACTAGTTAGTACTAAATAATGACACTTACCAACAGGAGAGAGCTCTGGTTTAGCAAGTGTTTACATCTAAGGAACCCGTGGAATGACAACAAGGAAGTGAAAATATGCCGAGATGGACAGGTAACTGCTTGTGCTCTGTGGTTTGATACTTTAAACAGACAGTTTATTATTATTTACACAGTAATCTTCAAGAGTTTTAATAACTCCTCTAGTGGGGTTAATTTAAATCCTTACAGTGTTTTTTTTTTTCGGAATTATTTTAACTCCAAAAAGGAGTTTAAAGAACTCTTTTTCAGGAGTAAAAGTCACCCCCGATTTGGAGTTACTATTGTGGAGTTAAAGTAACCCCCCAAAATGGGGTTATCCTGTACCTAAAATTTTTACTCCATTTTTGGAGTTATAATAACTCCCTAAAAATTACTCTATAATGGAATTAATATTAATAAAGCAGTACGTCTCAGACTCTTTTGCACCAAGGCAAGTAATTTTTATATTTAATATATCCTCGTCAAAAGAAGAAGATGCAAATTACTATTTTTCTCGGAATGTTATGATGATAAGGTTTATCTTTGTCCAGTTCCTATGATATAGATAGCATACCATTACGGAAATCAAACATAGACAAAAAGAAAGAGGTATTCGTAATAGTCTTTTGTTTTAGATGTATCTGTTGAAAATGGCATTAGTTAGAGTAAGCTTGAGTAAAATTCTTTCACTTAAGTTGTACCTTAGTTCAATTGTATCCGTAGCTAGCCACCTTGAGAATATTTGTCACCCAATGCCGGATATACTAGTAATGTAGTTTAACAAGTTTAGTTGTATAATTGATAAATTCGATCTCGTGCCATTCATTTGTCCACGTTGTCGGTAAAAGCGCATTTTTTTTACTTTTTAATTGTCTTATTTACAGGAAGTGGAGCCGTCCGTGGGTGAGGCATTGTGCCGCTTGTTTCCCGAAGATGAAACTGTAGACATCAACACCTCGCATCACTCGTCAGAACGTCGTCACCGGAAGGAAAGAGATCCCTCTAGGTTAGAACCAATCATCATCTTTGCCTGGTGGCGGATGCAAGTCACTTAAAAGCCCGTATCTGACTGACTGTGCATGAAATACCCATGGCATCGCCGCACAGAGAAGTGTGGTTTTGCTTACTTTGCAAAAGGATCACGATGCATCTCTGACAGAGAATCGCGGATTATCTCTGTTTATTTCCTTAGTATCTGGAATCACTTGGTATATTCCTCCCCAAAGGGAAGGTGAAAGCAACCCAGCTCTCAAGATTTGTGTTGGAAGGTTTCCCTTTATTCGACATTCCCGACGGAGTTAATTTTCTGTTCTCATGTTATCGTATATTTTGCTATACTTTCTAGGATGCGTGGAAACCACTCTCAAGTGGACTTAAGGCCAATCAACTGCCTAGGACTAACAGGAATTCGAGAATTCCTCAAAGAACTTGCTTCTAAAAAAAGACTATTGTATTTGGTCTCATATCAAGATCTTGTGTCGAAAATGGACTCGCCTTCGGACCGAAAAAAATTTACCTACAGCTCCGGTCTCTGCCAACGAATTAAGCAGAAGGACGAACAAAATTGCAAATGCTCTCTAAAACTGTTTTTCAAATTCAACGGTCAAATTCCTTTGTTGTTCGACAAGAAATTTCTTTTGCAGCTCAGCTTTTGCATACCATAACCCGATGATTAATGCAAAGAATGTTGGCATTAATCATTTTTTTGCTGTTGTACCATTTTTGCCTGCCATCCAGGAACTTCTTCAGTTGTTAATTTATTTATGGTGTAATCCATTCATGCCTGACAACAAGCAATTTATGGGGACTCGAATGCGGTATAGGGAAAGCATCAAGGGACATATTAGGCGTGTTACATAACGGGTGTTAACAGGACTTGACTGGACTAAGGCTTTTTGTTATGTGTTTCAGTTCTTTATGCTTTTGTGTACACCTCAGTCTTCGGCAGTGCAATTCCTGCGGTGCAAATTGCATTATGTAATTCTTAGTGCCTGTGTGATGTCGTTTTGCTTGAGCATATGATGTCAGCAGTAGCGATGCTGGACGGTTAAGACTTGTGAAATTTATCCTCCTTGGGAATTGAAAGATTAGTGTAGAGTTTGCGGTGAGCTCAAGAACAGGACTAGATATCTGCATCACCTAGGACAATATTATCATTGATGCCAATCTGCTCCAAAGTCAGTTACGACAGAGTTGGTCACCAAGGAATGCAAGTGATATTGCAACCACAATGCAAGGAATGCAAGTGGTTTGTATTGCAACCACACTGCAAGGAATGCAAATGGTTTGCATTGCAACCACACTGCAAGGAATGCAAATGGTATTGCTGTTTATGGAGGTGATAGGGCTGTGATTCAGTTAATTGATTTCTAGAACGCTTTACACGTTGCTAGCTTGTGATCACTCATTATCATTTTGCAGTGTGCTTAGCTTGTCGTGATAAAGGTACATTTCTTTAACCCAGGGGATAATCACTGTGTCCATTGCCTTGTGTGAGGATGAGGGGGGTAAGAATATGTTCTAACGTGAAGATATTATTGTCATTAGGCGTCGCCCTAGACACTCTGATGAGCTACGCAAATCACGAAGAAAGCGAAGAGGTAATTTTTTCTTCTTGGATTATGTCTTCTGTTAAGCACGTACAAAGGCGACTTGCTCTACGTTTGACGATTTTGACCATTGATGGGAAGGAAATAATTATTTCTGCTCTTATGGTTTCTTGCGAATGTTGTTCCCGCGAATAACGAATCGGCAAAGGTCATGGGGAAGGCTGTTTTCTTTGGCGTACTTATTCATCTCGATTGTGATTTTCGTACTCCTTGATGGATCAGGAACGTCATGACAGGAACAACTCATCCTGCGTTAGAACCAGCTCCAAACTGTTTTAATCGAACTTCCGTAAAACAGCTGAGGATATATCAGGCTAAGCGAAATGATAAAAAAAAAAGTTCTGTAGGACGTGATGAGCCAGAGTTTAAAAAGGATTTCAAGTTAGAGGGAGTAGCCCCTGAATTAAGGAGTGGCACTGAGAGGAAAGACACTGACGCAAATAGCAAAGTCGTTAGTTGCACTTTGGGCGTCTTAGAAATGGTGACATTTAATGGAATTTTAAGAACAGTTGTCATCGATGGCATTTATTCCAGTGACGAGTTAAGGACTTCCTGAACTTACCTTTCCCCAGTTCCTTTTTTCTGGTTCAAGTGAGACACCAACAGAATTCCAAGAAACGTAGAAGCAAAGGGTATAAGCTGCCATAGCCGAGTGTAACGTAGCGTGTATTGTGTTTTTGTTTATTTGTTTGTTTGTTTGTTTGTTTGTTTTTTTTTTTTGCAATAAGCATCACTGGCGATTTTTTCCCTTGAGATTCATTTTATTGTAAAGCGTGTTTTTCTGTTGTGGTTGTTTGGTTTCCTAACCCTTTTCATTCTGGAGATATAAAGTGCTTACCATCAACGCGCCATTCCGTTAGGAAAACCTTGGAACATTGGCTGTTAAAGTCGAACATTTTTTCTACTCTTTCTGTACTGTTCAGTTGTGTTGGCTGCACTTTATAGTGGGTTTTAATCAAGCTTAAATTTATCGTTAAATGTTAATGCACGTGATTTTTAACCGCATGGTTAATGTGTAAATGGAAAGCAACTAAAGGCCTCCTCACATGAGTTCGGTTGATCGGGCTGGCCCGGTTACCGGAACCTTTTCTGAGAAATTTTAGCCCGGTTTACGAGATGAGGTAAGGCCGAAGATCCTGGGAACGAATTCTGGTGCGAAATTCTGGAAACAAAGCAAATATGACGAAACACAAACTTATAACCTTGCGCCTATCATACCTTTGGCAACTCTTATAGCTGAATGGGATGTTTAGAAAATACAGCGGGCAAAGCAAGACGATGCCATCTCGTAGCGAAAAATTCATGCCGCTTTCATCACGGTAACCGGGCTGAAGTGTTCGTATGGCCAAATTTTCGGGTCCGCTTCCTACGTTCCGGTTAAAAAACCGAGCAAGCCCACCCTCTCATATGATGTGAACACATCAAAATTTCGGAATCCAGGCCTGCCCGGTCAACCGTGCTCATGTGAAGGGGCGCTAAGTTCTAACTTTCGGGTCTGTAAATGAAATGCCTCACCTGTGACCAGAGGAATAGTTTTACACAGTGTCATTTGTTTTAAGTTGGACTTAAAGGCTAGTTTTGTTTATGTAAGCTAACGTAACATAACCTTGTCATGGTGATTGGTATAATGCTTCCAGCGCTGACCCTAGTTCAGTGTTCAAAAGGTGGATCCGCTGGATGAATCTCTATCGAGTGGATAAAGCAATTGGTTTTGCTAACGCGTATCCACTGGACAGTGATTTATACAGTGGATAGCGCTATCCAGCGATTGAACAACCGTGGCTACGACATTAACCCAAACGGCGGGGTAGTTCTACGTGATACTAGTATTGCATTCTCATTGGGGTTCTTTTAAGCCAAGCACTATTTTGACAGACTTCTCTTGGAGAGTCGTTTTTCTTACAAAGCCCACAATGTACTAAAGGAAAACAATACAAACATTCCGGGAATACTATAAAACCAGAATTATATTCAAATTGCTTTTTAGTTTCAGGTTCAAGACATCACCCGCGAGACCATCGAGATACTTCACCAAGGTACGAGGACAGGTAAGTTTTAGCGATGCCATTTCTCTTTTTCGAAAAAACCTTTTCCTTACTACCATTTTTTTTGTTTAGTCGTCACTTGACTTAATAAACCGCTTCAATGTTATTTTTTTCTTTGGGTCGAACACTTCTTAAGACTATGATCTAGTTTTTAAATTTATTTCTTCATGAGTAATTGATTCGAGGGTATTCATAGTAATAGCAGGATGTAGATTTTTTTGTGTGTAGAGAAAGACAATTGATTAGAACGAAACAGACTTTAAGATTTTTTATATCTCTAACAGAGGATACGTGAAGATTAAAACTGTTGTTGGGAAGACTTTGAAGATTGATATTTCATTTTTGTGACTGATATTTCATTTTCTTCATTTATAATTGTTGCGCATTATTTTCAGAACAAAACCCAATAAAGAGTACACAAAACCGCGCAGAGGAAAAATACTGTACGTGATGAATACGAAGTTCTTTAAAAGTAATTCTTGTAAAACCAACTTCCTAAACGTACTAGAGGAAGCATAATCCTTGAGCTTATGATAGGTAGTGTGTGAAATCTTTATTTACATGAGATGCTTTTTTGCTTTGTAGATCTCGCTATGGAGGCGTAAGACGAGAGACTCTTTTGCATGGAGTAAGTGCTTTTCGCTCCCTATTTTGTTTTTCGATATGTAAGAAATACAACTGACGCGTTTGCGTGAATTATGGATTCTTCTTGCTGAGTGCAGCTTTTGGCCAGCTTTTTGTGTCGCATGGGTTCCATTTCCGCTTCTTTCTCGGTCCTCCCCGAAAAGAGACTTTTACGGGAAGACAAGGTCTTATTTTAGTGAACAGCGGCTGGTAATCGAGCCTAGTTTCCGCATGGGACTGGGTCAGTGTGGCGTCGAATTGCTCTTTGAGATTGTTTTGTGGGACGGAATTTAGACCCAGTTTCTTGCGCAACTTTGTATTAACCAATTAGAAAAGCGAAAGCATTCTTAAAACAGTCCCATAGTACACTGCAACACAACGCCAACCCTGTCTCAAGCACAGCCTCAAACTAGCTAGTGAAACTAGTGCATCGGCAGTGGCGGAATCAGGTCTTAAATTAAGTGGGGTCCCCGCTTATCCACACTCCAATAACAGGGAGGCCCAGCACTAAAACAAATTTTCTCGGCCCCGCGGGCTTCAGTTTGGCCTACAAGTAAGGTAGGGACCTAGGCCCCACCGCTAGTTCTTCCACTGATTAGTGGGTCCCATCGTTGATCAGTCAGGGCTTTAGGGATGGACCATGAGAAAAGTTATGGGGGGTGGGTGGGGAATTTTCCAGCCGCATGATTCGTTAATGTTTCCCTTCTATGATTTATTTAGGCTAGTGCAGGAATATTTTTTAGGGTTTCTTGACGTGCGTGACTTGTTTCTTCATAAAATTTTCCCTTGCATAAAGATTTTATTGTCCTTCGCCCGCTCCCCCGCCCACCCATACGATTTCTAATGGTCCGTCCCTTATGACAGGTACTTGACAAAGACCGATTAAAGAGCTCCGATATAAGTAATTTTATTGTCAAAACTAACACTCCTTTCTTTTCTCAGTCCTATTCAGATTATATGCGGGAGTACCAACGCTCACGACATTCCTCGTCTCTTCATTCGATAAGAGTAAGATTTTTTTTATTTATATATTTTGTTGATCTTTATTTTTATGGGTGAGCGGAAGGTCCGTTTTTCCTATGGAAACTTCCCACTGGAACGACCCAGACCATTCGGGCGCTTTTTATTTACGTGGGCAAACCGGTCGGTTCACGGACTGACTTTTTGGGCGAATGGAAAGCACAGTTCCGGACTATAGATTTTGTCCCGGAAACGTGTTTACCATTTGCACAAATGAGTTCCTTTGACCGGAAAACGGCGGCGAAGGCCTGAAACTGTTATCAAAGGTGGGTTGAAGAAATGGAACTCGCTTTCTGTTGGGAACTTTCCGTCCGGAAAGCACGGGACTACCTTTTCTTATGTTCCGTTGCTCCCCTGAAATTTTCCACTGGATCGACACGAAAATTCGTGTTCATTTACATCCCGACCGGAATTCCGGGAACCTGTTGGTACAAAACGAATGTTGATGGAAAGCGCCCGTCACGTTGCGTTTACTTTCCAACCGGATTTTAGAGGCTTTTTGTAAAATTGTAAACAACCCGTGTTGGTCTTTACTCTATGAATTGATCGTTAAACCCGTAACTGTTGTTTTCTTTCTTCTAGTCGCACTTTCCTTCTCGAACGGTTGATCTGCCGTCTTATTATCCCATCCACATGGGCCATGGTGGCTCTCGTAGTGGAAGTAGCTACCACAGAACTGTAAGTACTTTGTCTCTTTCGCCAGAACAGATGCATTTTCTGTGCATCCGGGTGACGTTTTTGGGTGCATGTAAATGCTTATAGTTACTACATGCCACAGAAATGAGGGTGAAACAAGTATTTTCCGAAAAAAACAAAACCAAAAAAGGCCCTCTGCGTATTGGGCACTACATTACGAGCAGTCTTTCTTTTTAATCCGTCGAACGAAGGGTGTGAGACACGAAAATGACCACTCGCAAGACTAATGGCATGAGACGGGAGAGGCTGCCTTCCTCGTTTCTCGCGTCTCGCCGCTTCGCCGTTCGACGCTTGCGCGCGCGTGTACTCTCCTCACTAAATCTGAAGAAAAAGAGAGGCTGCTCGCAGTCTGATTTCGCGTCTAACGATACAAAATGAATATTTAGATGTAGCTATCGTCAGATAAACGATTATCGTAACAAAGCAGCTCATTTTAAACCCAAAGTTTTTGAAAGACGTTCTTGCAATATTATGCGACCAAACTTCCTCTCTTAACTTAAATAAATTGCCGTCATTTAACCTCGGTAGTATTTATAGCACTAATGCTAGTGGGGCGGAGCAAATGCCTGAAACAAATAACTTGAATAATAATATAAATATTAATAGTAATAATGACAGGGGTGCCAACTTTCCTCACTCGCAGCCAATGACTGCATTGCTGGGGAACCAGAGAGGTGAGATCGGACATCAGCCAATGCGTGTAAAGGCGCACTATGCTGCCGCTCAGTCCATGTTTGATCTCACCTCGCCCACCCAGACCAAAGAAAGCACAAATCAGATAGACGATGACACCAGGGCTTACTGTCCCCTAGTCTTTTTGAACGGGTTAATAATAATAAATCAAACATAACCTTTTATTTTTCTGTTTCGTTGTTATCTTTTAGGTTGATCCATACGCCGCAGCTTGTGACGAGTTTCTGAGGAGAACCCAGTCAGACCGGAGTGGCGGCCGTTACCGCAGTGGCCGACGGAGGTAGCAACAGATACCTTCAACAAGAATATTTACTCGTGAAAGAATCGTCTTGTAATATATTTTGAGCAGCTCAATGCTGTCCCATTGAATTCGGATTGGAATTTTTAAGTTTCTACGCAAGGCCTGTACAATTGCTTCAGACTAAATAATTTGTAATAATTTTTAGTGGTACAGACAGTTGAGAAATTTTCCTGTCTGATTAAACATTCGCTAAGATCAAGCGTTCGAAACGTGTATCTTCTTTTTTCTTTTCAAACTGTTAGTAATAAAAATGAAGAGCTATGCGGATGTGCATAGTTATCAGTAGATTAAAAGTAATGTGCGTTAACTGTGTGTCGAGTTATTGTTTCATCCTTTCGGTTTCCGGTAGATTTTCCAAGGAATTGCGAGTGCCCCTAATTATTCTTGGGTTGCACGTGACGTCACCAAAAATCAAACTAAGAAACTATCGATTCTTCTGAGTATCTACTTTCACGAGGTATTACAGTACCTAAACACCTTTACGTAAACAAATTTTTGGTTCGAAAGGATTCTTCGTTTTGCGAGAGAGGACGCATGAATTTCCAGGCTTTTGCGTGACGCGGCATTTAGCTGGCGGCCGGGAAAGCTCTTATGTGGGTTAAAAACATTACCGATTTTGGGAGATTTCGCAATCTAAACATTCCTTGTCTCAGAATAAATATTACTGTAATCTTTATGAGTTCGTCAAGCGAAGAATTCACGCATTAGTAGGAAAACTCGAAAACAGATGTTTCTGTTGGTATCCGGCGGCCATATTGGTGTTCCTGAAAGGGACACCAACATGGCGTTTCCATACAAAGCTTTATAAATTTAGGTAAACCGTTTTTCCCAATATCTCGCATTTGAAATATTTCACAGACCTGATTCTTGGCAAGGGTTTTTGTATGTTTATCTTTTTTCATTTCCCAGATTCTAGTCCTTCTGTATTGAATGGTTTGCATTTTTATTTTTCATTGCGTGACTGTGCAAGCCGAGAATAGCCTGCACAGCAGGCGTTTTTTTTTTTTTAAGAAAGCGGACCCAGAGGTACATTGATCGCGGCCGCCGTCATGAAAGCAATTGGAAAACTAAGGGAGGAGGGGCAGACAAGGTATTTTTTTCTCGTCTCCCTCTCTTCCTCTCCAATTTTGTCCCGTCAACCTCTCCCTTGGAATCATTTTGTTGACTCGCCCCAACTCTTGATCAGTTTCAACGTCCAAGTCGTTCGCACTGCAAAATACGCCTACTTTGCAAGCTACCTTGATTATAAACTTATTCGTTTGCTCTCCTATTTTTCTTGAAATATTCATTCCATTTATTTGACCCCAGTTAACGAGAACTTATTCCGGCACTGATTCAGTGTGGCAATCATTAGAGGCCGATCCAGAACAGTGTATCAGTCGGGCCGGGAGAAAAGGCGGGACGAAAGTTTTCAAGTACGGGCGAGGTCTGATAATAGGTATGTATTTTAGAGATCTAGCCCCAATTGTTCAAAAGCCCGATGTTCAACGAAGGAACGGGCAGTTCTGGGATTTGGTTCTTGAAAAAATTATGTAATCATTACCAGATTACAGCGCAAACTAAAACATGAATTCTTCAAACGCATTTCGAATTCGCATATTTCTCTTTTGTTGTTATTCATATGAAATTGAAACGATAAATACGTTAATACATGAACGCCCCCGTAGTTTCCTCGAAAACCATACCCGATTCCAGAACAAAATGAGCAAAGTGTTTTCAGACCAAAAAAGCCCAAAAATCCTACCCTTTGGGGTGGTACGTACCTATATAGCTTATTATATGAGGGAGTATCCCCCCTTGTCCTGACCCCTTTCATGATTGAAAACATGGGTGTAGAAAATAGCATTTTTGTCAGGCTCATGATTCAGAGAACCGGAATGCACACCTTCACCAAGAATTTCTAGGAGTTTATAACTTAAACTCACGTGTCTTGGTGTTAAGCGATCTTTTGCTCTTATCTCTCCTTACCTAGAGCCAATTAGCACCGGTTTTACCAACGTATTCCATAATCCGTATTTTATACCCAGTCCTCAGTCCGCATTCTTTCTTTTATACCTAGTCCACAGTCCGCAGTCCGCAGTCCGAGTGTTATGAATGACCGGTCAGCGGAAAGCTCCTCTCAATATGCGTAGTCAAGTTTCATCGCATTTTCGCGCCATTATTTATCCTCGTTGGCCTGGAAAGCTGGGATTTTACACTGATTTACTCTCTGTTTTCTTGTTATTGAGACTTGTATTAACATCATGATGAATGGTTTATCGTGGGGACCAATTAAGAAGACTGAGATGAAAGATTTTTGCGTCGAAATAATGAAGCGGCTCAACGTTCAACGAAAGAACGAGCAGTTCTCTGATGTGGTTCTTGAAGTTGGCTCTGGGGATGATCTGGCTCGCCTGAAAGCGCACAGAATCGTTTTATGTGCAGCAAGTCCGTTCTTCTACAATGCTCTTAACAGCGACATGAAAGAGAAGAATGAGGGAGTTATCAGATTAGAAAACACGAGCAAAGCTGCGATGGAAGAATTGTTAGAATATGTTTACACCGGACATGTTGGCCTCACGCAAAGCAAGGCATTCGACCTTCTAGAAGTAGCTGACTTTTTTGTCATTCTAAGTCTGAAAGAGATCACAAGCAAGTTCATCGCACAAACATTGTCTTCTTCCAACTGTCTAATGGCATACTATTTTGCTGTTAAGTATCAGTGTACTGATCTGCATTGGAAAGCGAGGGATTTTATCTGTAAAAACTTTATGAGAGTAGTTGAGCAGGAAGATTTTCTGAATTTAAGTATGAAAGAGGTGGAAGAGTGGATTTCAAGTCATGATATCGAAGTAAGTGGAGAGGAAGACATTTTCCAGGTTATTGTTAAATGGTGGGAAGGAAAAGAGTACCACGAACGCGAAGAATTCTTTGAATTATTCCGTCATGTTCGCCTGGTTTACATGTCACGCAACTATGTTTTCAATGAAATTTTGCCACATTCTTTGGTGGCCGACAATAAAACATGCTCATCATTTGTATTAGAGGCAATGAAAGATGTTTCATCTGGCTCTGAAGAGTGTTTTTTTGCCCAGCCACCAAGAAACTGCCTGAAGACATCAGAAGATTGTCTTGTTGTCACTGGAAGAAATGCCACAATTTGTTATGTTTACTCTGAAAACTCGTGGTATGAGCTGTCAGACCAATCTGTGAGCAGACATACCATGTGTGCTTCTCATGGTAAACTTTATATTAACCGTCCTGCTGATTGTAAAATTAAAAGGTATGATCCAGCATTGAACTCTTGGGGGACTGTGATTTCATACAGCGGTGGTCAACGGGGTGCATCTTTAGTTAATTTCCAAGGGTTTTTGTATTTGATTGGTGGAGCAGTAGGAAATGAGCATGCAAAATGTGTGCATAGGTACAATCCTGACACAAACCTATGGCAAAAGGTAGCACCCATGAGCATTTCCAGATCTGGACTGTGTGCTGTAGCTGACAAGGAAAGCCTGTATGCAATTGGAGGTCGGACAAGGGATCAGTTAGTGGATGTGGTAGAAAGATTTGACCCCAAAACAAACACGTGGTGTAAAGCTGCCTCAATTTGTGAAAAGAAAACCTGCCCTCATGGAGTTATGTTAAGGGGTAAAGTCTTTTTATTTGGAGGCTTGACGAGCCTTACTTCATCAGATGATGTATTTTCAAGCATCATTGAAATGTATGACCCAATTTCAAACATCTGGACAGCCATTCAGAGCACATCTGCTCCAAAGCGCTGTTTTAATGCCACAGGTTTCAAAGGAACTGTTTTTGTTAGCGGTATTTGGGACCAAGAAAGTTCAGAGAAGTATTTCTTGAGGGTTTATGATGTTGACAAGAATGAGTGGAAGCCGTGTGCAAAGTTTCCTGATGACTTTCATCCAGGTGCTATGGCTCCTCTCAGAATTCCAAGAGGAATTTTGGACTTTCATAAAATCATTATTCAACCTATTACCCCCAGGAGTTGAACAGTGAAACCCTATTTGCTATTTTAATATGGGCACTTTTCTCCTGATAAGAAAACCCTTTTAATATGGTTACATAGTGAATTTATTATTAAATAACCTGGGGTCAATATAATAAAACCTCTACAGGTGTAATTTACAAGTGTAGCTATTGTTTACAGGCACTAAAACAATAGCTGCACTTGTAAATGGCACTTGAAATTGACCCCTGGGGTTAATTTAATGAAACTTCAGGGGTTAATAGGCCATTTGGACAAAGAGGTCATGTGACATTATTTTTGTGAAAATGAAAGTTAAATGATTAATTGCCTTCGAAAAACGGTTAGTGGGTCATATCTTAAACAAAATAATAGTAATTTGGTTTTTCAAACCCGCACCGTTTTCCTAAAATGAGTAAGTTCGTCGCTGGTCACTTGACCAAAATGTGATTTTTAAAATTATGAATTTCCTCTTTCTGAACACAACTTTTACGCCTAAACTTCAAGGAAGATGTTGAAAAGATGATATGGTAACGTTTACAGCACATCTGGGCATAACTATCAAACGTTTAACAAGATAATAAGCAAAAAGTAGTTTTGGCCGCAATATTGGAGGGCAAGAGTATGCTTTGTTGAAAAACCAAAGTGCCATAAATAATCTCCCTTAAATGTGTTTCCTCTCAAATCTCGGGTGTTATGTGCTCTGTCAATTTTTGGCATCAGCAAGATTCCAACTCATTGTTTATAGGAAGCATTGGTCACTTGACCTCTTAGTGCAAGTGGCCTAGTTAATGTTTTCAGACTCAATAACAGTAGCTACTCTTGTAAATTACACTTGAAAAAGTTCTTTTAAACTGCCCCCTGTATTTTCTCTATAAATGTGACCCTCCATGGGAAAACAGGGCTTATGAATTTTCACCAGAATCGTGGAAAAAGAAAACAGTCATGGGGCATGAAATAAACATTTCATGGTGTGAATTCAAATTTTCAGGCAGTGTTCATTCTAGTTCAAGTCCGTATCACTCTCGGTGTGAAACTTTGTTCCGAAGGCATTAAAATGAATCCCCAGCATGAACATGTATGAAATTGGTGGGACAGAGTTGTTTCACACCCTCAAAAATTAATTGCCTTCAAAAGCAAAAATAATGAAATACAGTGAGCATTTCAGTTGATACAAACTTGACAATGGCTTATTTAGAATGGTAAAATTTGTCTGCTGCGTATATAAGAAACCAGATGTGAAATATCAACATACAGTGTTACTTATCAGAGCCAAATACTTTATGGCCTAGTAGTGGTTATATGAACTGGGTTTTACTTGTTAAAAGAATAGAATATTTGTGCATTGTTGTAGTTGTTCAGACCACTGTTGGGTCACCATAAATTTTGGATGAAATTGTAATCTTATCAGACTTATACAGTTGACTTCTGGTAACTCAAACCCTCCATAACTCGAACCTCCCGCTAACTCAAAGGAATTTTCATTTCCCTTCAGATCATTTCATACATAATTTTACCCTCGATAACTGGAACTCCCGATAACTCAAACTTTATTCTTTCCCTAGAAGGTACGAATTATCAGGAGTCGACTGTATGGATAACTGAAACTTATTCTACTGTTTTTCATTTTTTAAATTAAGTAGAGTAAAAATCACCTTTGTGTTCAACCTTTCTGTTACCAAAGCTGGTATTGTTTTGTACGATTTGATTATTAAAAACAATATGGGATGAGGTTTTTGTGATATCCGGAATTGTCAAGGTAAGTGTTATTAGATAAGCAGAATGCCACGGCTGGTAAAACTTACTGAGACCTTGATTATTCCGGACATCACAAAAACCGAAATTAATAATAATGTTTTATTATACATTGTCTTTAAGAAAATATCGTCTAACACACTATTGCAAGGAACAAAATTGACTTTGCTTTTGGAAACTATGAATTGTATGTGCAAACTACAGTTCAGTAGACTCTTAGTCTGTAAGAAGACATAGTGAGTATAATATAATATTATTATTATATTATAATAATAATATTATTGCCATGCTGACTTGAAGATTAGTTTAAGTTAATAGAATGCATTACCAATGATATGATACATAAAAATGTAATCAATGAAGTAATAATGAATGAATGGTTACTATTCTTACAGACTGATAGCTCTTGGTTTGGGGTGGGGGGGAGGGGGAATATCACTCAATTTAACCCTTTTGCCAATTAACTGCCCATAACCGCCCATGTGGCTCCATGTCCCTTCTACCGCTTGAGACGTCAACAATTTTAACGATCAAGGACAAGTTGTCAGCTAACTTGTGCACAATTCGGCCAAGGAGGTCAAAAAACCATTTAAAGTTGACTCAAAAATTCCTGGTCGCTAAAAATGTTGTTCCCCTACCCACATACCTTTCCTTTTATCTAATCCTAAGATTCTAAAAAGTTAAAAGCTTTCCCAGAAACCTTTCCCATCGAAATGAAGCCTGCTAAAATCCCAGAAAAAAGGGAAAAAATGATTCAAGAAAAGCGAAAGAGGAGGGGAGGAGAGCAAGCGAAAAAGAAATTTAAGACTGCTGTGTTACGTTAAACCCCGATTTTGCTTTCTGTGCATGTCTGAACTTCGCAAGCTGATATTTTGCATCTGGATCAGACGGCCTCAAAAGCCAGACAGTGGCCAGAAAACAGCCCGACTAGCTAAGGAGAGAGAACCTGGGAACGAAGTTGTTGGTGTGTCTGCAAAGGGTTCCTACTTACTTCTCTCCCCCATTTAGTGAGTAACAAATTCTGTACCCACCCCTTGACTGAGGACTTCAAGGGGGGGGGGACGGACGTATTGCTGTCGCTTTGTCGGGCATTTCAGACTGCCTGACCCCTGGTAGGTCAGGGAAAATGTCGCTGTCGGTTCAGCATAAATTTTTGTGATAGCTGAAAGCAAATTGGTAAGAAAAAAAGGACTCAATTTGAAATTTACGTTGAGAAATAGCTCCTGAAAAGAATATAGAGAATATTACACGGTGGCGAGAAGATATGAATTTTATGTTCTCGTGGCAAGAGCAATATCTCACGAGTGAGCGCAGCGAACGAGTGAGATATTGTTCTTGCCACTCGAACATAAAATTCATATCTTCGAGCTAACGTGTAATATTCTTTTTATTATATAAACATACTGATGACGGCGTTTTTGATGATTTTCCAAAGATTTTCGACCACCTTCCGAAGATTTCCGAAGATTTTTCAAATTGTCCCGAAGACCAGACGAACGTTCCCGAACATTTTCCGAGAATTTCCGAAAATGTCCGAAGATTGCCGAGCACTTTCGAGGAAGACCCGAAGATGTTTCGATGATACACCAACGAATTTAAGTACAATTTAAGAGACAAACCTGATGTCAGTGAAATTATCGATATCTCCACATGTAAAATATCGTATTTTTACGTGTGTTCAGATACCACATTCTCGGTGGTAGAAATCCTTGTAAAACACTGCAGTTTATATAATAAAAATTGTTATTTCCCAGAAAAATTTTAATGTCCGGGATTTAGCCCAAGGGGAGGGGCATGGATGTATGTGGAATTGACTAATGCATAACAGTACTCACACAATTACTGTGTTGGAAAAAAATAACAACAAGACAAGGGCATATTTTCTGAAGGATTGATCTGAAGGACTGATCTCTGTAGTCAGTGATTTAAGATTTTAAATTTATGATTTAAAAAAAAAAACAGCCCTAGCTTGTTAGTCGCAGACCCTTTAGTTTCTCTTTAGAGATCGTCGAGGGCGTGTATGGAAAAAACCGGAGTCTGACGTAAATTGTCGCAAAAAAACGAAAACCAACAAAACTTGCTCGAGTGAGAGCCTGGAAAATATTGTCAGCGGAAAGCTCCTCCGATTATGCGCAGTCAAGTTTTATCTTTCGCTTTTTGGCGCCTTTTTGCACAATCTTTTGCCGTTTAGCCGCAAAGCTGAGAGAAGGCGTTTTCCTTTTCTGTTTTCGAGTTTAATATTTGGACTTTTCTTAACATCATGATGGATAGTTTATCGTGGGAACCAATTGAGGAGACCGATATGCAACAGTTTTGTGTGGAAATGATGAAACGGCTCGACCTTCAAAGAAGGAGCGATCATTTCTGTGATGTCGTTTTGGAAGTTGGCTGTGGTGACGATCAAGCTCGCTTGAAAGCACACAGAATCGTTTTATGTGCAGCAAGTCCGTTCTTCTACAATGCTCTTAACAACGACATGAAAGAAAAGAAAGAAGGAGTTATTAGATTAGAAAACACAAGCAAAGCTGTGATGGAGGAATTGATAGACTATCTCTACACAGGACATGTTGACGTCACGCAACACAACGCGTTCGATCTTCTAGAGATGGCCGATTTTTTTGTCATTCCAGGTCTGAAAGAGACTACAAGTAAGTTTATCGCACGAACATTGTCTTCTTCAAACTGTCTAATGGCATATTATTCAGCTGTCAAATATAATTGCACGGAATTGCATAAAGAAGCGAGAGATTTTATCTGTACACACTTTATGAGCGTAGTCGAGCAGGAAGACTTTCTGAATTTAAGCATGAAAGAGGTGGAAGACTGGATTTCAAGTAACGATATCAGAGTTACAGGAGAAGAAGACCTTTTCCAGGTTATTCTAAAATGGTGGGAAGGAAAAGAGTGCCGCGAACGTGAAAGGTTTTTCGAATTATTTCGTCATGTTCGCCTGGTTTACATGTCACGCAACTATGTTTTCAATGTAATTTTACCGCATCCTTTGATAAAAAATGATGAAACATGCACGGAATTTGTCCTAGATGCAATGAAAGATCTTTCATCTGGCTTTGAGGGTTGTTATTTTTTCCAAGCACCAAGAAACTGCCTTAAGACCTGGGAAGATTGTGTTGTTGTCACTGGAAGGAAAAACACAATTTGTTACCTTCCTGCAGAAAACAAGTGGTTTGAACTGGCAGACCAAACAAAGAACAGAGAGTTTTATACTATGTGTGCTTCTCATGGTAAACTTTTTATCAACAATGGTGGTCATTCTACAATTGAGAGGTTTGATCCAGCGGTGAACTCTTGGGCACCTGTCACACTATGCAGTGGTCGTCCAATGTCACTCTGTGGTGTAGCTTTAGTCAATTTCCAAGGGTTTTTGTATGTAATTGGGGGCAGAAAAGGAAAAGAGCGTGAAAATGCTGTGTATAGGTACAATCCTGACTCAATTCTATGGCAAGAAGTTGCACCCATGAACACCTCCAGATCTGCACTGTGTGCTGTAGCTGACAAGGAAACTCTGTATGCAATTGGAGGTCGGACAAAGGATCAATTACTGGATGTGGTAGAAAGATATGATCCCAAAACAAACTTGTGGTGCAGAGTAGCTTCAACTCTTGAAAAGAAAAGAAACTCTCATTCTGTTATTTTAAGGGCTAAAGTGTTTTTGTTTGGAGGATTTACTAGCCTTGAATTCCCAGGTACTTCTTCAAGCAGCATTGAAATGTATGACCCAAAATCAAATGTCTGGATGGCCATTCAGTGTACATCTTCCCCATCACGCTATTGTAGTGCCACAAGTTTTAAAGGAGCTGTTTTTGTCACTGGTTTGTGGGACCTAGAACATCCTCATGATTTTTTCTGGAGTGTTTATGATGTTGATAAGAATGAGTGGAAGCCTTGGGCAAAAATACCTCTTTTCTGTTTCAATGCACGTGCTATGGCTCCTCTCAGAATTCCAAGAGGAATTTTAAACGCTTGTAAAGTTTTGTCTTAAAAGCAAGTTGTAATTGAAGGATCACCGCAGGATTTCTTCATCTCTTAGGACCGCTTTGATTTAGACTGCAAAACAGTTTCATGCATACTAAGTATGTGTGAGCCTCACACTCCTGTAGGACACGTGAGGCAATCCCCAGTCTAGCTCTCTTTTTTTGACTTCACTCCAGACCTTTTGTTTGCACTCCTTGCACTGTTTTGCAGTCTAACTTTGATTTATTCCAGTAAAATACCCATATATTTTATTTGATAGTGCAGCCAACAGCCTTATTATGAGAACCCAGCCTGTATTTCTCGACGAATTTGCCTTATTGATGCAGCTAATGAAAGCATTGAAAACGTGCATTTCATAGACAAGTGAAAAATGAAAATAATATTATTCTTTTTAACTGTTGACTGGCAGTGTCTGTGAAATGCCATGTTGTATGTCTAAAATAGTCATTTTCTTCACAGATTCATCAAGAAATCAGTGTTTGCACAGTCTTAAAAACTCCTTAAAATTAAGATTAATGTCCTTGAATTTAGTAATCCTTAAAAATACCTTGACTTTCTTAAAGGTCCTTGCATTTTTTCCCAGACCAGGATGTGCTAACATAATGTTAAGGTGATAAGCACAACTCTTTTCTAAATTATGCCCGTTAGCCTTTTTCCACTGTTTGCACAAAATGCTCAGGTGCTACTTTACAGGCAGTGACTAGTCACTGTAATTAGATGAACAATTTCCATATTTCTTAACGTGTGACATGCAGTGCGTGCCGTTCATGTAATAATATCAAGCATGAGATGCAGTGTTTCATCACCAGATGAAATGGTGAGAAGGGTCTGAGTTAAAATACATTGTGCAACAGAGTACTTTGGTGATGAAACACCGTGTCGAATGCTTGATGTCACTTTTCAAATGGAATGATTTAAAAAGGAGAAATTAAGGATGCAAAAATGAGCAGTTTTTCATCTGATTTTCAAACACTCATTAAACATAAATTTCTGTTGTATTTTCTTTATGAATTATTAATGAGTTTGAGAACTTCACAGACAGACGGCTTAACCCATAAGGCTGGTTTTCACTAGCGACGGAGTTAAAGTGGGAGTCATAATCAGAAGTGTAGAGCTTATGATCTAGTGAAAACAGCGTTCTGATTCCGCTTACGACTCCATCGCTCACATTCCACTTATGATCTAGTGAAAACCAGATTGTCGGAGTTAAAAGCAGAAGCAGAAGAACCAAACCAATCATAAAGCATGGGAACTTGCATTGTCGTTAGTTTATCCTTCCATTTCTGCTTCCGACTCCGACAATGTGGTTTTCACTAGATCATAAGCAGAAGGAAAGCGAAAGAGTCGTAAGCAGAGTTGGAAGAAATGGAAACCTTCTGATTCTTCTTACTCCGATTCCGTCGCGCTTATGACTCCGCTTATGACTCTGCTTTTTTATTTTCACTAGGTCATAAACGCTCTTACAACTCCGCTTACGACTCCGACTCCGTTGCTGGTGAACCGCTATACCAGCCTTTTAGTCCCATGAGTGGGCAACATCAATTTTCTCCTAATAATTATCCATACATCATCGAGAGAAAAGGTTAGAAGAATTCATAAAATAATCATCAAAGGGAAAGGGCTTTGATCTTTCATCAAAATCTCTCAATTAATTCTTGATTAAAAATGGAGTTCAGTCTGGTGAATTTGAAGGTGGATATTGGCGCTCTAGGATATTACCTAGTGTAGGGGTGGGAGGAGAAGAAAGTTTGTTGATTTGTCTACAAAAGATATTTTACCTTACCTCCCCCTTGTTATGTAAAACCCCTCCTTTCACTTTACTTGTGCTTTTTTCTAATCCATGGAGAGACTGTCTAATCCTTCTAATCCTGCAAGGCTTCCAGGCCCGTAACCAGGATTTTATATGGGGGGGTGCTAACTAGTCCAAAGTGGACCAAACTACCGAAATGTATATTTTATTGTCTGATCCGTTTATTTAGGAAAGTAGCAATATATGAGAAATTGTAATGGCAAAGTACACGGTAGGAACTGAATATTACATTTGTCGAATACAACTGTTTGAATAAAGTTATAAAGGAGTAATTTTAACGCTGTCGAATGATACATCAAAATACTGCGGAACTAATCCCTCAGAATAACCGTACAGGGACTAGGCATGGCAATGTCTACCGTAGCATCAGAGAAAAACAGGGAATTGTTGTTTATCGACAACATGTTTTACAAACAGTGACATCTCTGCGTGTTGTTTCACTAGTATTTCGAGGGCATGACCTCCTGAAAATCACAAATAGTAATCGCCAGCAAGAAGCCAGATTTTTGCTATGGAAAAAAACTTGATTATTTGAGAGAGCGGCGGAAATGGAGCCTAGGTCTAGGTCAACACCTAAAAGGCGCTTGGCCTAACGTGCGTACGGCGTCAAAGGTAGCCGGGAAATAAAAAAAGCAACCATAATCGAGTTTAGCACCTTCCTTAAAATAAACAAATCTAGGAAACAATTTCTTTTACGGTTAACTCTTTTTTACCCTGTTTACGGCTAACGGTTAAAATTTTTCAATTTTTACGGCTATCTACTAAATTTTTGGCCGCTTTACGTCTATCCCTCTTCTAGACCCTCTTTGGAAAGAGATCATCATCGCACTCCTTAAGAGCTTTGGCTGCTGTATTTGGCCTGTGCAAAAGTGTGCGCACGTTAATTTCATCTTTCATATAGATACGCTGGGACATCTGTGCGCTCATTGAAATGTTCTGAATGGCTCGGGCTACTAGAGTGCAGCTGGTTTTATTTTCCCGGTGAATACACTACTGCTTTTTCCATTCTTTGATTTTGTTTAAATATCACTGTTAAGTTTGAAACTTCAGTTTAACCGACTGCACTCCTTAAACTGGATATTGAGTATCAAAATGCGGACCTTTAAGGCCTGTGGGGGGGTGCGAATGCACCCCGTGCCCCCCCCTAAAACAAATGTTTCCTTTTTTACCACCTGTCGCGTCGAACAGAAGGCAAATCTTGTCAGCGGAAAGCTCGCGAGATTATGCGCAATGGTTTCATCTTTCATATCCGGTGGAGGCGAGAGAGGCTTTTACAATTTTTTTTTCAAAAGTGTTTTCGTGTCATTTGGACCTGTATATCGACTTCATGATGAGTTGTTTATCGTGGGGACCAATGCAGGAATCTGACATGCAACAGTTTTGCGTGGAAATGATGAAACGGCTCGACGTTCAACGAAGGAACGAGCAGTTCTGTGATGTGGTTCTTGAAGTTGGCTCTGGTAACGATCAAGCTCGCTTTAAAGCACACAGAATCGTTTTATGTGCAGGAAGTCCGTTCTTCTACAATGCTCTTAACAGCGACATGAAAGAAAAGAAAGAGGGAGTCATTCGATTGGAAAACACAAGCAAAGCTGTGATGGAAGAATTGTTAGAATATCTTTACACAGGACACGTTGACGTCACGCAACGCAACGCATTCGATCTTCTAGAAATAGCTGATTTTTTCGTCATTCCAAGTCTGAAAGCGGAATCAAATAAGTTTATCGCACGAACATTGTCTTCTTCGAACTGTTTAATGGCATATTATTCAGCTGTTAAGTATCAGTGCACAGAATTACAAATGGCAGCGAGGAATTTTATCTGTGAAAACTTTATGAGCGTGGTCGTGCAGGAAGATTTTCTGAATTTAAGCATGGAAGAGGTGAAAGAGTGGATTTCAAGTGATGAAATCAGGGTAACAGGAGAAGAAGACGTTTTCCAGGTTATTGTAAAATGGTTAGAAGGGAAAGGATGCGTCGAACGTAAGACATTTTTCGAATTATTTCGTCATGTTCGCCTGGTTCACATGTCACGCAATTCTGTTTTCAAGGAAATTTTACGGCATCCTTTGGTGAGGGACGATAACACATGCACAGCATTCGTCTTAGATGCAATGGAAGATGTTTCATCTGGCTCTGAAGAGTGTTATTTTGCCCAATCACCAAGAAACTGCCTGAAGACAGCAGAAGATTGTCTTGTCATCACTAGAAAAAACTTAACAGTCTGTTACCTTCCCACAGAAAACAGGTGGTATGAGCTGGCACACCAGTCTGAGAATATATATTTATATACTATGAGTGCTTGTCATGGTAAACTCTACATCAATAATGGTGAGAATCGGCAAATTGAGAGATATGACCCAGCAGTTAATTCTTGGGCGCCTGTTACATTATATGGTGATGGTCCACTACCTCTTCGTGGGGTAGCTCTTGTTAATTTCCAAGGGTTTTTGTATGTGATTGGTGGAAAAATAGGAAATGAGCCTGCAAACTGTGTTCATAGGTACAATCCTGACACAAACCTGTGGCAGGAGGTAGCACCCATGAGCATTTCCAGATCTGAACTTTCCGCGGTAGCTGACAAAGACACAATGTATGTAATTGGCGGTCGAACAGAACATCAGTTACTGGATGTGGTAGAAAAATTTGACGTCAAAACAAAGTCTTGGTGTAGAGTTGCTTCAATTCTGGAAAAGAAAACCCGCCCTCATGGAGTTTTGTTAAGGGGTAAAGTGTTTTTATTTGGAGGCTTGATGAGCCTTAATAATTATTCATCAGAGCTATTTTCGAGCATCATTGAAGTCTATGACCCAGTGTCAAACACATGGACAGCCATTCAGAGTACATCTGCACCGAAGCGCTGTTTTAATGCCACAAGTTTCAAAGGAGCTGTTTTTGTGACTGGTTTGTGGGACCAAGAAAGTTCCGATGGTTATTTCTTAAGGGTTTATGATATTGACAAGAATGAGTGGGCGCCTTGTGCAATGTTTCCTTATATCTATTATCCAGGTGCTATGGCGGCTCTCAGAATTCCAAAAGAAATTTTGAAAACTTGCAAAGTTTTGGCATAGGCACAAGTTGTTTTTCAAAAGATCACCCTCATGAGGTGAACATTGAAAATGTTATTGTGTTGTCATGGGTTCATTTTCTATGCAGTGCATTTCAGGGGTACTTTTTCTGACCAATCCAAGGAAAATTTTAACTTTTGTAACATTTGAATGTATGCACAGGTTTGGTTTTTAAATAAATCGCCTGTAGGAGTTGCATATCAGAATCCTGCTTATTATGCAAATGTTTTCGTACATTTTTAAATAAGAAAACCCTTTTAATATGGTTGCATTGTGGATTCATAACCTGTGTCTTCTCTACAAATTGACCTTGTCAACAATAAATTGCCCTCATTTATTATTTTGGCTTCAAAAGCAAAAATAATGAAATTACTATGCATTTCAAAGGACAGACAACTGACAATGGTATATCCAGGATGTTAAAATTTGTCTGCTATGAAAAAAAGGAACCAGATTTGAAATATCAGCATACCCTGTTGTTATGGCTTATTTCTGGTCCTATGAACTGAGTGCAAGTCTACATTAATGAAAAGAAATTATAGACTGAAACTTATAAATATTTGCCACAAGATATTTCAGCTAAATTACTTAGCTTTCATCAGTCAAAAGTGAAAGCAATTGGTTACCATAAATGTCCTAATAAACTTCTGGGGCATCTATTCAATGTTACGGGTCTAAGTGGAGGCATTTAATAAGATAGGAGGTATTTAGAGAGAGGCATTTATTCTCATAACTAAAAAACTCAACAAAACCAATATGCTTTGGCCAAAAATGTCCACAGAGAATTAAAAAAGTGGAATATCCACTCCATCAATTGATACATCAAGGCCGTCTAGAGATCCAAATTGCTCTTTTAAATACAGTCGACTCTCTCTTTATGGACACCTCTATAAGATGGACACCTCTGTAAAACGGACACCTAGAGTTGGTCCCTGCCTTTGCTTATTTCCTTTATTTGATGCTTTACAAGACAGACATCTCTCTAAGACGGACACTTTGTGCTGGTCCTAAAGGTGTCCGTCGTGGAGAGAGTTGACTTACCAACATCGATGTCAGAATCCTCGCTCAGGATTATTGTGTTGCCACTGTTAATCTATCCTTATTTTAGACTTGACATTGAGCAAGATGAAATATGTAAAGCCTTGTTCATCAAGCAACATTAAACTGAATGAATTGAATGATTTTCCTCCTTTTTGCTAATCCCTAGTCTGAAGTAATTCTCATAAGGGGCATTTATTAGACATGGGGCTCCTAATACACACAGCATAGATGAAGCATTTTATTAGATAAGAGACATTTATTTGGAAGTGGGCATTTATTAGGTCATTTACGGTAAGTAATTTAGCTGAACTTTTTTGCTTCTATTTATATTTATTGTTTGGTCACCGTAAATTTTGTATGAAATTTTTATCAGGTATATGGTTTTTTGCCTCTATATGGATGTATATATCCTTTACTGAAAATTTTGATATCTGAAAATTATTGTAGTGTTTCTAATTTTTTAAGTAACCGGTGTAAAAACATCACCTTTGGGCTCAACCTTTCTTTTACCAAACCTGGCATTGTTTTGAGAGATTTTAATTATTATAAACAATTATTGGATAAGGTCTTAGTGATATCAGGAATTATCAAGGTCAAGGCTGAGCTGAAGGCAGAGGCTGATAATACTTACTGAGATACCACATATACCGGATATCACAAAAATCAAATCTAAGTCAGATAATAATGTTTTATTATACATTGTTTTGAAGAAAATAACAACAAAGACCGTTGCAAGGAGCCAAATTGTCATTGCTTTGAATGAAGTTTGTCAAAATGCAGCATTAAGTAAAATCGATTTGACTATGACAACAATAAACAAAAAATTTTGAAATCGATAAAAGTCGAATTTTGCGCGATCTAGACCTGCTACTGAAAAGCCGACACCAGGAACTTAAAAAGTCTTGTGTTTACCAAACAACTCCCGTGAGAAATAAAAAATTATGTTTGTTTTAATTCAAGTAACTACTCAGTACTGGCAATTAAATTGTACATTTTATATTGTGATGTTTTAAACAATTAAACTCCATCCTAAATCACCAATAAATTTTTACAAGACCAAAAATTATGGTTAGTTTGTCCTGATCCTGATATTGTAAATACGTTTGTCAACACACCTCTGTTCACTCGGATAGCGCTAACTGGCCTGGGGACGAGGCTGGATGAGTGCCCTACATAGGCTTCTCTGAAAACCCACTACATATTTATGTCATTTTTCTGTCGTTTTTCAGCAATTTCACTCTTTCAAATAGGGCCTCTAAAATTTTAATAAAAAAAGAATCATCAGCATGCAAATTTCATTCATCCTCGGAGAAAACGCGAACAGTGGTTAAAGAAATGCTATTTAGAAATACATTTTCCATTTTTTTTTGTTTGCGCGAAAACTGGATAGCGTGAAAATTTGGTCACGTGTCTACCTCTGCTGTTTTCTGTAAAAGTGTGCTTACCACAGGTTTGCCACAACCTCTTCCTTGGTGTCTTCTCGTTTCTAATATGGTAGTGGCAGGAGAAAAGAGGGTCTTCTCTCCTGTCACCGCCATATTGCTGGTTTTCAGTGTCACGCCATTCAAAATAGATCAAAATAGGTAAAAAGCAAAACCCTTGAATAGATAAAGTCCAGAATCTGGGAAATGAAAGGAGGTAAATATGCAAAGACCCACGCCAAGATTCGGGTCAGAGGAATATTTCGTTGTTACGCGGGTAATCTTTTAGAGGACGGGTAGCTTGCGAACCAAACTGAACGCAGGGTTGTCGGAACAGTAACAAGAAGATTTATTCCAAACATGAACGTAGTTTCCACGAAGTAAAACTCCACAACAGCACGTAACTCGATAACTTACACGGCCTCCGCCAACTTCAATTAACTTGATAAACTTTACTTGGTAACTTACACGGCCTCCGCCAACTTGAATAAACACGTCTTCGTCACACTTGACTAAACACGACCAACGTCAAACTCTCTTCGCTTGTGACAACTAGTTAAAACTTAACTCGGACTCGCCTACTTATATACTTTTTATACAATAAGATTCTAGAACTTTCTAAATAGTCTAATTATAGAAAGATTACAAAATATACCGCTTTTAGAAACGCTTACAAAAGATCCTAAAATAAACAAACTACGAACTCCCGCGAACCTTCTAGAAAGTCACGCTAGTCACGCAATACAATTTTTCGTAACATTCGTATACGAGATATCCGAAGAAATGTTTTACCCAAATGTTTAGAGATTTGTATGGAGACGCCATGCTGATGCCCACCTGGATGGGCTCCAACATGGCGGACGGAAACCAACAGAAACATCTGTTACCAAGTTTTGCTACGAATGCGTGAATTTATTCTTCGAGGAACTCAGAAACATTAAAGGAACAGGGGGCACCCAACGACAATTTTCGGAAAAATATCTGTTCGGAAGACGATTTGAGATCTAGAATTTTCGGATCATTTTTTGTAAGATTTGTTGCTTGCCTGCCTCTCCTAGGATTTTCGAACATCTAAAAAATGGTATAATTGCCCATTTTGAACGGATTTTTACCCTAAAAAGGTCACCTAGAATTTTCGGAATTCTTGTTTCTGGCTGAAATTTTCGAAAAGGTAAGGTTTGATGCCTATAATTTTCGGATCACTAGACTCTCAGCTAGGAAATCCGAACAGATGAAAAATTTTTAGGGGATAAAAATATGCCTTTATCTACCGTTTAAATACTAAAATACGTTCAAAAATGCCACGTTTACGTGGTTTTGAACTACATTCTCGTTGGGTGCCCCTGAAGGAATACTTTTTATAATACATGAACTGTTTAGATAGCAAAATTCCTTGAAATAAGTTATTTTGTTAATCTACATGACAACTCTCTTGGCCGTCATGTAAATGCAGCGTCACGCAAAAGCTTAGAAATTTAAGCGTACTCTATCACAAAACCAAAACCAATTTTGAAGCGAACATTTGCATGAAAATCATGAGCTTTCAGCTGCTCTAATACATCGTGAAAGTAAAATCTCGGTAGGATCGATAGTTTTGTAGTTTGAATTTTTTTGACGTCATGTGAAAACCAACAATAGTAACTTGAGCATATGAAGACCTCGGGCTCTTTTCTTTCAAGAAGCAATAGCTTATAACAGTTGTAGAATAAAGTCGTCAGAGTTAAAGACTGTTACATTAAGTAGAAGCGCACTTGAAAACCTCGTGAATAAAGATGATGCAACCATCTTCAACAATATAATGATGAAAATCGTGACATTTCTTAGCTATTTGGTATATTCGACGAGCTTAATTAGGGAGCTCAAGCAACAACGACGGCGACGGCTACGAAAACGTCACTTAAAAAGTGTTAAAAATTCTACTTTATCGCAGTGATTCCAAGCCGTTCAATTCGTCAAATGTCGGCAACTTTTTCTGGAGTTGAATTCTAAAAGACTGTTTCAAAGTTCAGGAAAAGAAATAGAAAGTCGTTGTCTTTTTTTCACGTCCTCGTCAAAACGTGAAATTAGGCACTTTCACGTTGAAGTCGTACAGCGCCGGCAAAGAAATGTACAAAAAAACTTGATACACGTGCAAAGTTGTTGTTTTGCCAATCTGAACCTATTACTTTTTGCCGTTCTCGTTGCCGTCGCCGTCGTCGTTGCTAAGCTCAAGTCTTCCCTCTAAGCAACGTTTGGTGAGTTAATATTCACAGTACTTCAACAATTTGTCTATTTTGCACTATGAAATTATTTTAGGGGGGTACAATTTTCATACACCACACTTTTCTGATTCCACGGCACGTCAGCGGAAAGCTCGCGCGATTATGCGCAATTGTTTCATCTTTCAGGTGGAAGCAAGGTTTTTGGGTTGGGTGTTTTCGTGTCATTTGGACCTGTATATCGACTTCATGATGAGTTTTTTATCGTGGGGACCAATGCAGGAATCTGACATGCAACAGTTTTGCGTCGAAATGATGAAACGGCTCGACCTTCAACGAAGGAACGAGCAGTTCTGTGATGTGGTTCTTGAAGTTGGCTCTGGTGACGATCAAACTTGCTTTAAAGCACACAGAATCGTTTTATGTGCAGGAAGTCCGTTCTTCTACAATGCTCTTAACAGCGACATGAAGGAAAAGAGAGAGGGAGTCATCAGATTAGAAAACACGAGCAAAGCTGTGATGGAGGAATTGATAGACTATCTTTACACGGGACATGTGGACGTCACGCAACACAACGCGTTCGATCTTCTGGAGATAGCTGATTTTTTTGTCATTCCAAGTCTAAAAGACGTTTCAAGTAAGTTCATCGCAGGAACACTGTCTTCTTACAGCTGTCTAAGGGCATATTATTCAGCTTTGAAATATCATTGCACTGAATTGCATAAAGAAGCAAGGAATTTTATCTGTACACACTTCATGAGCTTAGTCGAGCTGGAAGACTTTCTGAATTTAAGCTTGGAAGAGTTGGAAGAGTGGATATCAAGTGATGAATTAATAGTTAAAGGAGAAGAAGACGTTTTCCAGGCTATCGTCAAGTGGTTAGAAGGAAAAGAGTGCCGCGAACGTGAAAGATTTTTCGAATTATTTCGTCATGTTCGTCTGGTTTATATGTCACGCAATTATGTCTTTAAGGAGGTTGTACCACATCCTTTGGTAAAAAATGATGAAACATGCACAGCATTTGTCTTAGAGGCGATGAAAGATGTTTCATCTGGCTCTGAAGAGTGCTATTTTGCCCAGCCACCAAGAAACTGCTTGAAAACAGCAGAAGATTGTCTTGTTTTCACTGATGAAACTCGCACAATCTGTTACCTTCCCACAGAAAACAGGTGTTATAAACTGACAGATCAGCCTGAAAATTTGTATTTGCACTCTATGTGTGCTTCATATGGAAATCTTTACGTCAACAATGCTGATGAACAGACAATTGACAGATATGATCCAGTGACAAACTCTTGGGCACCTGTCATCCCATCCTTGAGTGGTGGTCAGGTGCCATTCCGTTCTGTAGCTTTAGTTAATTTCCAAGGGTTTTTATATGTGATTGGTGGGATAAAGGGAAATGAACATGTAAACTCTGTTTATAGGTACAGTCCTGACATAAATGCATGGCAGGAAGATGCACCCATGAGCTTTTCCAGATCTTCACTATCTGCTGTAGCTGACAAGGAAACTATGTATGCAATTGGAGGCCGGACAAAGGATCAATTACTAGATGTGGTGGAAAGATTTGACCCCAAAACAAACTCATGGTGCAAGGTCGCTTCAATTCTCGAAAAGAAAAGATACTGTCATGCTATTATTTTAAGGGCTAAAGTGTTTTTATTTGGAGGCTTCACTAGCTCTGTTCATACATTGGTATCTTCTGACAATATTGAAATGTATGATCCAATATCAAACATTTGGACAGCCATCCAGAGTACATGTACATCTGCACCAGTTCGCTGTTTTGGTGCCTTAAATTTCAAAGGAGCTGTTTTAGTCGCAGGTTCTTGGAATCAAGAAAGTTCCATCAATCTTTTGTTGAGAGTTTATGATGTTGACAAGAATGAGTGGAAGACTTGTGCACATTTTCCTCGTATTATTTATCCGCATGCTATGGCTCCTGTACGGATCCCAAGAGTAATTTTAAACAGTTGTGAAGTCTTGACATAGGTACAGGTTGTCTTTTGAAAGATCACCCTTGAGAGTTGTACATGTACACAGTGGAACCCTGCTGTTTGACCACCTTGTTGTTGTGGTCATTTTGATTTATCCTTGCTAAAGTCCCTTGAATTTCCCCATTAAAAAGCCTTGTAACCCATTAACTGTTAACAGTGGTCAGCGTGCAAAGAAAGTCATGTTTGATAGCCCAGGGCAGTGGATTTTGCTTTAGGGCTAGTGATTTTTGTTTTTAACTTGCCCGACGGACAAGTGCTGTTTTTGGGGGAAATTCAAATTACAGAAGGATTGTAATCAATCCTGCTAATCAAAAAGGGTTTTAGGGCTAGCTGAAATGACTTGTGGGCTAGTACATGCTAGCTACAGCTTGCGTGAATGGCAGGCTGTAAAACTGACTTCCTTTACATCGTGGTGGTGAAGAGAAAAACTGACAAAAAATTCAAATAATATTTATTTCTGTAAAATCCTAAAAGTTTAGACATAAGCACAGTTAACATCATCCTCAGGAGTTGGACAGTGGAACCACTGGGTTCAGTCACCTTGTTATAGGTGAACTACTTTAATGATATATCGTGGCAAAATGCCCATGCATTTGAGAAATAAATGCCCTTAATTTTTCCACCACTCTAATGCGCTGTAATGGCCCCATTGTAAAACTGTAATGTTTATTTTCCCCACAAGTTTACCTTTTTAACAGGCCAGTTAGGCCAGGCCAGTTTTGTCTGCACAGAGTAGTATAGAAGCTTCTTGTAAGGTCTCTCCTAATTGGTAGCAGGAAACAATGACATGTCATTCTTTCAATTGTTTTAGTATTGTTTGGGGTCAGGGTTAGGCACCATCGGTGACTCTTCCGAGTAGCTGCTACATGACCCTCCACACGGGCCTGTTTATGTTGGAGGGAGGCTGGGAGAGTGGAAAAGTAAGGTGCATGGAGGATGATGGGAAGGGGAAAGAGAAGAAGAAGAAGAGAGGTTCCTGCCTTTTTCTTATTCTTATCATCCACCTGTGCTTGCTATTTTTTTTATTATTACTATTTTTATTAAAATGCCCACACGGAGCCTCTGGAGGAGAGAGCAAAGTTTCTATCACTCAAACTTGCATTTTTATCCATACATAATAATACAAATAAAATTTTGATCATGTACACAGACAGCTTGGTAATAATATAACTTAGTTACTACCACCCAATTTAGCGGTGGAGAAAGGAAAATGCAGCTTAATTTAATCATTTTGCCCTTTCCTTTTGCGTAATTTCTTAATACCTCCTGCAACAGGAATTCCCTGCAAATATGGCATTTTATTCCCAATAAAATTCAAGCCTTTGTTTGCAGAATTGTTGTTTTGAATTGATGGTTTAATTTTTACAGTTTATTCATTTTTTTGTAATTCACGAATCGGTTTGTATTTATGTGTATGTAAGTGGAAGACATTAAATCCAGGACTGTTTATTATTTTATCTACTCTGTGTGCTTGTTTTTTTTCCTTTTTTTACCTCCTTCCTATCCCCTACCTCTTTCGACGCTTGCTACGTAAAGCTAGCTATATTGTGTACATTTTTACGTCGTTACAGTAATTACCTTCTAAAATTTTGTAACACTTTGTAATTCGATAGTATGAAAACACCATATTGCTTCTATTTTTGTAATGTGTGTTTGCCTACACCCCACCTGGAAATCGTCTTTTGTTGTGTGTGGCCAGCATAGTTAAATGAAGTTGTGCAATTGATTTGAACCTGTATTTTCTTTACTAGTTCACCTTGTTGATGTGCCTAGTCAAAGCAAAATGTGCATTTCAAAAGACAAGTGATAAAAGGAAATTATTCTTTTCATATAAATATAGTCATTTCCTGTACAGAATCCTTTACTGTGTTTAAGCTCGTGTAGCTAACATTAATTTTATTTCTTTATTTATTATTTATCAGGATGGGGACGAAGTAGCCTCAGAAAACAGCCGACATTTAGCGACGTCACCACTGGTTTCTCGGGAAAAACTGTAATGTCACATCATCAGTATACGGAATTTCTATGCTGATCCTTCCTCTGACGTCATTTCGAGGGGAAGCGAAATGTCGCCACTGGGGACAAGGCTGTAAAGCCTCATTTTATCACTGCTGAGTTCAATACCAGCTCAATACTGGCCAACTTAACAAGGGATTCTTAGCGCTAGTCCTTTTGCAAACCAAAACAAGAAAATTGTATTTTATTGAAATGGTTTATTCGAAAAAGGACGATTATAAACTTCTTCCTTTAACGAAATGAGACTTAATTTGTCCGAGCTTTTGAGCAACACTGCCAGAGAAGAAAAGGAATTCGAACTGACTTGATGAATCTCAAATTGTTTGACTATGCTATGGAACCAGTTATATATCTTGGTGAATTCATCGTGAAGTCATTTCAGGCACGAATTAAAGAGGCTGATTATTATAATTTCAGTTATGTACGCAATTTTTGCCATTTCGAAACAATCTTTAAGGAAAAACCACCCATGGAAAATATCAAAATAACCGTGGGTGCCAAAAAAGCTAGCGGCCTACGTCTATCGCACTTATTGAGTTTTTCAAAACCATA